TTTTTTCCATCCCTTCTCCTTCTGTTTGATTCTTTTATTACAATTTGAATTACAAGGACTAATCAATTCGGTACATCGAGAACGTGTACGTGCTATATATATGTATATTTACATATATTTTTTAAAGTTTTTTTTTCTGTATAATTAGTTCGATTCATTTTTGTTGGGAAGGGGTGAAAGACGATGAGTTGATTGTACTTCGAGATCAGTTTTTGAAGTATTTTTCAAAAGCTGAAGTTAAGGATATCCAAGTATTTTTTACAATTTGGTACAGACCACACTATTCATTCAACCATTTTCAATCATCAAATTTGAAAATTAAATTGCGTGCGACAAATTTTTTAGAAATCATGAATTCCATTCAAATTACATTTTGCACAGAATTAGCATTTTTTAATGCGAATGTTTAAACATTCGCTGTTTATAAATAAATAATTGAAATTGTTTAAACTTTCGGAAATTTCACTTTTTAGGCATGAAATCGATTTTTGGTAAAATTCTGAATATGAATGTATTTTTTATGATTCCGCATAAATGATTTTTATGGTGGAAAATTGATCGTTTATAAAATTATTTATAGAAAATGCTCATAATTTTCAAAATGTCAATTTTTAAAATTATTTGATAAATCTTCCTCTGAAAGTAAACTTTTTCATTTTTTTTAAATTTTCAAAATGTTTTCTAACGGTTCAATATAGAGATTCAAGTTCAAATTTGCAAAGTTTGAATAATAAAATCATTGTCGGACATTGTAAAATGTCCGGAAACTTACCAATTTAGCCAAGTATTTTTTACAGTTTCGTATGAACCACAGTATTGGTTGGTTGGTTGGTTCATTTAACCATTTTCAATTATGCAATTAAATTTGTCAATTACATTGCGTGAAAAAAATTTCAATAGTCAGTGTCATTCAAATTACATTGAGCACAGAATCATTATTTATTTAAATATTTGTCGTTTATAAATAAAAACTTGAAATGGTTAAATTTTCGAAAACCTTATTTTTTAGGCATGAAATCGATTCCTGGTAAAAATTCAAATATAAATTTCTTCCGATTCCGAACAAATGATTTTTATGGTAGAAAATTGATTGTTTATAAATTATTTATAGAAAATGCTCGTAATTTTCAGAAATTGTAATTTTTAAATTATTTCATCAACCTTCCTCCAAAAGTAAACTTTCCAATTTTTTTTCAGATTTTTGCTTCCGAAGGGAAGCATTATTAAAAAATCTTTTTTACCATTCAATGTCGAGATTCAAATTCAGGCCTGCAAAGTTTAAATAATAAAATTATTGTGAAATGTCCAAAAACTTAGGGTCAAATGGGGCTCAAATAAAAGCTCTGATGTTCGATTACAAAAGTAGAAAAGCATAAAAAACAGCCAAAGTACTTGGACATCTTCAAGGATATTAAAGCATTTTTTACAGTTTAATTCAATCATCAAATTTATCAATTAAATTGCGTGAAATTTTTTTTTTAAATCATGAATATTCAGCGTCATTCAAATCACATTTTGCACAGAACCATTATTTTCCAAACATTGGCTGTTCATAAATAAATAATTGAGATTATTTAAACTTTCGGAAACCTCATTTTTTTGGAATGAAAAAACGCCAAACTACTTGAGTATCCTTAAAGTGCAATTCAATCATCTTCTTTATCACTTCGCTACTCCTTTTTGTTCTTACGGTTTACAGTTAACAGGTTCGCATACGATTACAATAGTTGGACAATCTACGATGGTGTGATTTATCATTATTTTTGTTTCTTTAATTTTTAATTTTCATTGGGTTCCAAGAGGGCAATAAAATTTACATCCCGCTCCAGTGGGCATTATGACGAAGGCATTGGTGTGTGTGTGTGTGTGTATGTGTCAATTGTTTTCCATTGGGCCATTGAGTACAATTTCACGGGGAGACTTGAAGCTAAAGCGCAATACCAATTGTTTCGTCTCTTGAATTGTTTGTTGCGGTTTCTTTTTATGGTTCGAGCGATAAAGTGCTTGAGAGCAAACCTGGGGCTCTGCGATTCTGGAAGACTGTACCATTTTTATTTCATGGGATGTACTGAGAGATCAGAGGACTCACGTGATTACGTGAATTTGAGGATGTCGTGGGTACTTCTCGATTGTTCGAAACTAATTTTTTTTCTATCACTGTGAGACTCTTTTTACTTTTTTAAAACTCTTATAGCCCATTCAATTTTCCACTAAACGAGTTCTCTTTTTTCTTCAGAGAGTACTCCTTCCGCTCTTCAATAAGTCCACATTAAGATGAATTGATGAATTTATTTCTGAGTTATGATTTTTTTTCATCGATCGCGTTATTGTTTTTATCTACACTGACAGAAAATTTTTCTAATATGTAGACAATATTTACTTGAGAGGAGAAACATATTTTCAACGGCTTAAATTGCAGAAAGTTTTGCGGTTCACGGTACGAATAAATTTTCATTTATCAGTATCGTTCCGCGTTACATCGGGAATATATAACGTATTAAAACATTGGAAGTACAAAAAAATCATGAAAACAATAAATACTAAGGGGAGGGATAAATACCTCGGGGAAAAAAAAAACTGTTTTCCGCGTGATTTTTCCTCAGGAATCCGATTTTCTAGGACCAATTCGTCTCCGACCGCTAAAAATTAGAGATTCGATTTTTTTCTAATCGAAAAATCAACTTTTGAAAAATTCTCAACGTATTTTTTTTCGGAATAGTTTTTAAAATATGATCACAAATTTTCGCTCCGCTTCGTTGACTGATTGAGAATAAACAAAATAATAATTTATCCGTAATCAGAAGTCATTATTTTCTGCAGTACGTATGGTATAAATGATAAGTGAACAATTCCAGTCATCGATTGTTTTTTTTATTTTGAAATTTGTTCTTAATTTAATTTTTTAACAATTATTACAACTAACGTCCCCACGGTAAATATTCAGTAGTAATACCACGAGACTTGCGAAATTATCGGATATTTCGCGATTGTTTTGTTGCGTAGCAACGAGAGGGAGAAGTTTTGCAGATTAAAACGGATTTTTGTGTAAAACTTATCCCGATCGTTGATACGCAGGAAAACATGAGGGAAATGTCCGATTAATTTTGAAGGTCGAGTGGTATTCGACGGATTATTTTTTGTAATCGGATCCTTCCCAAACCGACTCATTTTGACTTTCTTCATGACTTTCTTTCACTCCACAGGATAATATTTGACAGTTATTTGGTTAGAGAAACAATTGCAGAGCTAGAGGGAAATTATCAAAAGCTACAGGGAAATTATCAAAAGCTAGGGGGAAATAACCACTGTAATTTTAATTGGGAAGTGCTTCATGTTATTGAATACTGCACTCTGGCTCAGGGAAGACCAGACCCGATTACCAAAAAATAATCATTACATTTTTTCAATAAAAACGAGAAGAAAAAAATTATTTTTAACAATTTGTTTCTTTTTCTGTGCACTGATAGAATGATTCATTTATTCCAAACGGGGTTCGTCAACTATTAACGAATGGTAGAGTTGAATATGACCAAATGAATATTCGTTAATAGTTAACGAATGGTTCACTTGAATGGCGAAAGTCAACTCAAACAAGGCTCCTCAAATATACATTCGTTAACTATTAACGAATGAACATTTGGTGAGACCGAATAGACCCTAACCTCCAATCAAAATCCATTCGTTAACAATAACTAATCCGTTCTATCAGTGTGTGATGAGAAAAACATCGATTTTTTAAATAATTGGTGTTTTTTCCAGAAAAATCGATTCACAACATCAATGTTTTTGAAAATCATCGATTCTTCGATAATCGATGTTTTTTAAAACATCGCCCACCCCTAATCGTAAGTAGTTAGATTTTCAAATTTTTATTCCGGCACTCCGGGCCGTGTCCTGGGTATAAGGCGAATTTTCAGAAAAACATGGCAACTTTGAGCTTGAATATACAATTAAGGGTAACACTGAACATAAAAAATCACACGGGACATCTTCAAGTATACGATCCAGATCACTTTTGATTATTTTCAGATTTTTCCTAGATCTTTCAAATCGATCATTATGTCGATTTCTGCTGATGCGGTGCGGCGCTTACGGCGGGACCACCGGTGTTCGTAACTTTTGCGCGACCGACGGAGTGTTAATTATGAAAAATACGGGGGAAGATACATTTTAAGTTGAGACGCCTGGGAGAATTAAGTGATCGAAGAAAAATTACTTGTCTCAAGTAAATACGTTTCAGATATTAGAAATTGTTTTCTGAGTGTAGCGATCTGAATTAATTACCGAGGAAATGAATAAACATGGCATCAATGAACATAAGAATTGCATAAAAAAAGAGATTTTTATGGAAAGTCTAGTACCATTTTTCAAGAGAGTGACAATGCATTTGATTCAGAGCACATATAGATCAATTAAATGGTTTCAGATAGAAATAAAACGGAGATTCACAAATTGACTCGACTTCAATCGAAAATTCGAGGATATATTCCAATAGCTTCCAAATGAATGAAGAATCATTAAAAAATTTGTGGATATTTCTGAATTTTCTGAATTTTTGTTTCATTGCACAATTGAACTAAAATTCACGATTTTCTTCGATTTTTCAATCCAATTGTGATTTTTCATTGACGAGATTCTCTGAAATTGTAGTGAAATGTCAGTCATACAAATCGTAATTATTTTGATGGTCTAGTAGAAATTTTCAGGAGTGATATAGCAATCGATTCTGGGAGAAAAACACATATAAAACTGTTTCAAGTAGAAATAAGACAGAGATTCACACTTTCAATGGGAAAATCAAAAATATATTTCTATAACTCCCAAATAAGTGAAGAATTACCAAAAAAATTTAAGGATATATTTCTGAATTTTCCCAATTCGATTGAATAATTGAACTGAAATTCCCAGTTCCATTGATTTTTCAACAAATTCAGATTTTCTAATGACGAAAATTCAAAGAATTCAAGTGTAAATGTTGTTGACAACCAAAAAAGGGATCATGTATTCAACTCAAGAAATTAGTTCGGGAACATTCCTTCATGTTTTTTCTCAATCTATTTAATGTACTCAATGAAAAAAAATCCAACATATTGTGAGATCCCCATGACATCCTCACCATCATTTTACAATTACTTTAACGATTAATGAATTCAATGACATCTACAAGCAAATGTTGAGGAGCTGAGTGAAATTCCTCCCCTAATTTGATTCCTAAATTCATCATTCTTTATTCGTTTTATCCTTAAATTCGCATCAATCATGTTCAAAGTAGTTTTTCGAGTATTAATGTTACGATCAACGAGCAATCAGTGCTACGTTCTTTGAAAATTCTTCCACCTTCAATCATTTTCACAATATAAATTCCACAATATTGATCATCCATCTATGTAGTGAGGCGGCAGTGATGATAGCGAACGTAAATTCTCTCTTTTATGTAATCTGTATCGAACAGATTGAAAATGTACAATTAATCAACGAATTAAGTGCATGTGCTATGGAGTGAATGACTGGATTGTTAACATTTTTGTTACGGAATCCAGGGTTATTCACGTTCTATCCAGAGATCATGGTGATTCGACAGCGGATCAGCGTGGTTTTGTCTGGAAAATGTTTACAAGATTAATTGAGTTTACGGGGATCGAGGGGAGAGAAAAATTTCAACTGGAGATAATTTTACTTCGATGTGAAAGCCTTCCTCAGTGCTCAACATAAGAGCAATGAGGGCTACTGATTTATTCTTAAGGAGAGACTACTATGAATTTTAAAAGTCGCGGGCGATCGGAATGAGCTGTCTCATGCATTGAACATCGATTTCTCTCTATATTATAAAAATCCAAATCAACTTCTGGTGATGAAAATTTGGTACTGGAAATTAAGACTTTAAAATTAAGGGCCATAAGGGTCATGAGGGTTAGAATAAGGGTAACGAGGGTCAAAATAAGGCTCATGAGGATGAGAATAAGGGTCACGAGGGTCAAAATAAGGGTCGCAAGGGTCACGAGGGTTTGATTGCGCGTCATAAGGGTCAGATTAAGGGTCCAAATAAGGATAAGAAAGGTCAGAAATTAAAGGTCTAAAAAAGGATCGCAAGGTTCAGAGTGAAAAAAGGTCATGAGGATCAGAATAAGGGTCGCGAGGGTCAGGGTTTGATTGAGCTTTGCAAGGGTCAGATTAAGGGTCCAAAAAAGGGTACGAAAGGTCAGAGATTAAGGTTTAAATAAGGATCTGAAGGCTCAGAGTAAAAAAAGGTCATGAGTATAAGGGTGACGAGAGTCAAAATAAGGCTCATGAGGATCAGAATAAGGGTCACGAGGGTTAAAATAAGGGATGCGAGGGTCAGGGTTTGATTGAGCGTCACAAGAGTCAAATTAAGGATTCAAATAAGGGTAAGTAAGGTCAGATATTGAGGCCTAGATAAGGGTCTGAAGGGTTAGAATAAAAAAGATCATGGGAATAAGGGTGACGAGGGCCAAAATAAGGGTAACGAGGGTCAGGGTTTGATTGAGCGTCACAAGGGTCAGATTAAAGGTCCACATAAGGGTAAGAAAGGTCAGAGATTAAGGTCTAGATAAGGGTCTGAAGGATCAGAGCACAATAAGGTCATTAGAATAAGGGTGATGAGGGTCAAAATAAGGCTTATGAGGATCAGAATAAGGGTCATGAGGATCAACATAAAGATTACAAGTGTCAAAATATAAGGGTTACGAGAGTGAAAACAAGGGTCAGATTAAGGGTCCAAATAAGCGTAACAAGGGTCTAATTGAACGTCGCAAGGATCAGATTAAGGCTCCAAATAAGGGTTATGGGTGTCAGAAAATAAGGGTCCCAAGGGTCAAAATAAGGCACTCTATACATCTCTCTATGTTATAAAAATCCGAATCAACTTCTGGTGATGAAAATTTAATATTCGAAATTAAAACTCCGGAATTGAAGGTCAGAAATGAAAGGTCCAGAAGGTCAGATTGAGAGTACCAAGAGTCAGAATAAGGATCATGGTGGTCATATGGGGGTTGGCGAGCGGAGCAAGCAGGGAGCGTAGATCCCTAGTATGTATCTAAAAACGAATAATTAGTGCGAAAAAATTATTTGTTTATTGCTCATTTGCAATAAACTAGTCCAGGGTCTCCAATGTTTGAGTTACAAAGGTTTTTTTTACGAATTAGTTTTTTGAAATTCGGCTCCTACACAGCTAATTTCGTTTTATTTAATATAAAAATTTGCGTCATTCATGTAAAATATTCGATTCTTTCAGAAACATTTTTCGGACTATTTTACATGAATGGTGAAATTTTTTATTTAATAAATGAAATTGGCAGTGTTGAAGTCGAATTTCAAAAAACCATCTCGTAATTGTTATTGCACACATTCTTTCAAACATGTTGAAAAAAAACCTCTGTAGCTAAAATATTGAAAGCCCTGCACTATTTTTAACATTTTAACCGTCTACGGAGCAAAAGAACAATAAACAATCAATTTTTTTTGCGTTAATTATTCGTTTTTGGACATGTATAATTGATCTTCAATCTATGAGAAATCTTATTCCAATAGCCCGCGACTTTTAAAACTCATAGTAGTTTTCCATTAAAAAAAATTCAAGTTAATGTACGAGATACTGATGTTCAGTGTAATAAATGGTCGATTATTCTTTCACTTTTGCATTATGATTACTATTCCTCAGCAGAGTAAACCCATTGGTTTAAAATGCTTAAATAAGAAAAATATAATTCTATCGTTCTCTACCTCGGACGAGTTGTGTGATTTTAATGACATTGTATTCAACCGAGCGTCAGACGTTCATCTTGGAAATGCGGAGGAGATGGGATATTATTTAATTAGAAAGCCAGACCAATTTCCGATTGCATAATGCGGTTGATGATCCTTTTCGCGGAAAAACCATTCATTTTTACAACATCAAAAGATAGTTCGATGTTTGGGGAAGAGACATTACAATTTTTTTTTCATATATTAAAACCTTATTCAATTGCTCATTAAGTGGATTTTTTTTTCTAAAGAATACTAATTCTAAAGAAAGAGTATACTTCTTTCTCGGTGTAGTAAGCCCAGACTGAGCTCAATTTCTCTACTTACACCTGAGTTGTGAATATTAAAAGATGACGGAAGTGTCCATTTTGCCCACCTTCCCCTATTTCTCCTGAAAAAATTCTCTTTTTTTCTCAGCGCTTTTGGAAAATTTCTCTAATCATAATTTTGCAGATCAACAATCTGAATAATATTTTGAAGTATTACGTTTTGAGAATCCCTTTAAGAAAAATCCATGTAACTTTTTCTGTCACCGATCCATTCGGCTATAATTTAACTCCATAGGTATTACTATAGCCATAAATATTTATAGATATACTTATAAATACCGATGACTATAGGGGAGAGTAGAGCAAAATGATGCAGTCGATAAACGACTGTTTGACGCAATTCAAGCAAAAAAAAAATTTTTTTACTATATGTTCTTTTCTACAGAATAACTGTATTACGCATATGTTCTTTTCTACAGAATAGAAAGTTATTATTCTTATCAGTACTCCCAATAATAACAGAAAATTAATAAACAAAAGTAAATAAAAAAAAATATTATTGCTTGAATTGAGTCAAATAGTCGTTTTTCGGCTGTTTTATTTTGCCCCACTCTCCCCTAAATAATTGAAATTATTTAAACTTTCAGAAACCTTATTTTTTTAGGTATGAAATCGATTTCTAGTAAAATTCTGAATATGAATAAATTTGTTGCGATCCCAAACGAATGATTTTTATGATGGAAAATGTATTGTTTATACATTATTTATAGAAAAAGCTCATAATTTACAAAAACTGCATGTTCCAAGTTATTTCATCAATCTTCCTTCAAATGTAGACCGTCTAATTTTTTTTCAGATTTTTAAAATGTTTTCTAACCGTTCAATATCGAGATTCAAATTCAGACCTGCAAAATTTAAATAATAAAATCATTGTGAAATGGAACGGCCGGAAACTTAGGATCAAATAGAGCTCAAATGAAAGATTTGATGTTCGACTACAAAATTAGAAAAAGCATTTCACGGGAGAAAATATAGCCAAAGTACTTGGATATCCTTAAATCGAAGTGATTTCTTTTTCGATTCCTTGCTTCATGTTGCCCGTTATTTTCTGTGCGAAATTTTCGGAGAGAAATTTTTTCAGGAGAAATATTGCTTGGATCCGCTCAAAAATCAATAGAATAAAATCATACGGTTTTGTGAGGCAGGAAATTATACCGCCAGCCCAATCATCTTCCCCTAATGCTCCTCATCTCCTCGCAATCTGACGTGATTTTCTTTCTTTCAACATCGAATTCGCAATTTCCGCAATTTAACTCGGGACTACTAGATCCTAGGTGATAACTATCTTTATATCCTTGCGAATTTTTCATCCATCTCGAAGACAACGGATTTCAGGAGAGGATTTCAAGGAACTTTTTTATGGATCAGAAAATTTCCTACAGAAAATATCGCCTGGTATTTTTTTATGAAATCTTTTTTTATCGGGGTAATTCAGTAGAGCGATGCTGTAAAACGGTTCAAGTCGACTTAGCTCTTCGCTGAGTTTTCGACGGATACCTCCGAATCTAAGGGAGATGACCAAAGTTTCATAATAATCTTTTTGGTAGCTGTTAAGTTGCTCTACAGAAAAGGTTATAACAGAAATGGTGCTGGTTGCCTTCTATTCTGAAATATTTATTAAAAGTTGAACAATAGTCAAAAAATATTTAGGACAGAGATGATTAGAATTTACTTATGAACTATTAACAGCTCGAGATCGGCTGAGTCAAATCCAACCGTTTTTTTTTCATTCTGAAGGTATTTTTCAGACTGTAAAATGAGATCTCACTTTTTCAACCACCATCATTTGGTCATAAAAAAATCCTTGCCCTCATCTTCTCTTAACCAAATAAAAAAAAATATGTCTCGCAATTTTTTCTACCCATCTTGAATACAAGGAGCTTCAAGGGAGGATTTTAAGAAACTTGTTTTAAGGATCAGAATATCTCCTGCAGAAAATGTCTTCCGATATTTTTTTCATGAAACCTTTTTTTACCGACATAATTGCATATTGAGAGGCGAAATAATTAAAGTTTATGTTTTATCCATCAAAAATTCGAGATCGGCGGACATAAATCCAACGATTTTTTCATTTAGAAGTGATTTTTTCAAACTATAAAAAAAAAGTCTAAAATAAATGAAATTCCAGTTTAATTTCATTTCTAAAATGAGATTTCACTTTTTCAAACCCTATCATTTGGTCATTCAAAAAATTTTTTTTTCATCTTCTTTTAACAAAATTGAAAAAACTTTTACTTGCGAATTTTTCATTCATCTCGAAGGCTTCCAGAATAGATTTCAAGAAACTTGTTTTATGGATCAGAAAATTTCCTACAGAAAAGTTTCGATATTTTTTTAATGAAACATAATTGCATATTTAGGGGAGGATGATTAAAATTTATTGTTTAATTATTAACAACTCGAAATCGTCTGAGTCAAATCCAACGATTTTTTTTCATTTGAATGTTTTTTTTAGACAATAAAATGCGATCTCACTTTGTCAAATCCTATCATTTTGTCACTCAAGAAAGCCCTTTTTCCTCATCTTCTCCTAACAAAATAACAAAAAACCTCTCCCTGCAAATATTCCTCATATTGATAATACGTACAGGAATCCTGAACCCCTCCCCCAGCCCCTCTTACGTAATACTTGAATGCCCCCTACCGAAATGAGAAAAAAAGAACTCTTCCTTTCGTCACCTCCCCTTCTCCCCTCCCAAATTGAATGTAAATATTAATTTCAATCCCACCCACTGAATTTCTAAAAACTCAATTGAATCCCCCCTGCAAATGAATGATAAATCGTCCCCAGCCAAAATGTTTCTCACCAAAAACCCTGGAAAATGACATGAAACCTTGAATAATGAATTTACCTCATCAGGGATCTGTTGATGAGTGGGAATGGGTGATGATGGCTGTGCTGGCTGTTGTGTCTGTGTTAACCCCTGACTCTGACACGTCCCCTGTTTCCCAATTTTTAAAGTATCTTGAAGTGGTTGATTGGGATCAGGACGTCTCATGTAAGCAGCCTCCTTTTTCGGTGGAACAACAGGTTTATTCGGTGGCACTGGTGGTGGCATACCACGTGGCACCAGTGGTTTTTTACCACATCCAGCAACTGTTGCCCCATGAAATGACGATTTTAATGCTGATGCTGGTGCTGTGCCCTTTCCCTCGTTCGCAACGACTCGTTTATCAGTTGTCTGGGGAATTAACACACCACAGCCACAATGTGCATCACAATTAGTCAACATTTGTTTCATTTTTTGTTTTGTTCATTAAAGATTGAAGGTCTTGCTGTGTCCAATAACCAAGCCCATGTAACAACCGTCAACCAAACCAAATAAAGCCAACGAATTTTGCTTTTCTATATTTCTTGTGTACTTGATGGGTTTCTCGAAGAAGTGGAGTACGTGGATGCATAGCACAGATATGAGAACCATTTGTTTGCCGAAGGTATTGTGGATTAAAAGAAAAATAATTAATGAAATGAATACAACGAAGCAGAAAATAATATCTCGATTTTTTTTGCGTTTTCTCTTTGCACAGGAGACTATCCCACAGGCACAGGTGTTCCCTTGGATATTCATGGATTTTTCTCATCTCCTGTACTGTTTTTTTTTTTTCGTGTCTTTGCACATGAGGTCAAGCAGGGAAATTGTTGTGTAAATAAAGCACGGAAGTGAGTTGCATACGAATATTTAATTGAGGAATTAATTTGATATACATACTAAATAATACGTCTTATGTACAATAAGTATATTCAAATTGTTTAGGGTGATTTTGGAAAAGGAGAATTATTCTACGTCTTCTACAATTCGTTTTTTTTTTTTCACTTCTAGAGTAATTTTGCTCTTCATTATAATTGTAGTGTTTTGAGGAGAGTATTGAAAGCATCTTTGGATTCAATAAAAGTTTTATGAGAGAAATAATAAGGAATAAATAGTGGGGTTACAACTGCAGTCTCATTAAAAAGAAAAATACCAACGGAAAAGCAGTGCAAAAATATTTTCTTCTCGCTAGGTCTAGTTACCAATGAGAGTGCAGTTGTAATGATCAGCTTAAATAATACGTAATTGATGACTGTTCAATGGTGATGAACAGAGTTAATCTGCATTTGCTAAAATAACTTTCAACGAAATAATTGAGGGAAATTATTCGTGGAGAATACAATGTTCGTAAGTACTCATTGGTTGCTAAGGGATAATGAACAATAAGACTAGAAAATTTCTAACATAATATCAAGTTTAAATAGACGATCTGTCGATCGCGGTTCGTTGATTCAATAGTGAAGTTGTGAAACGTATAAATAATGTATTACGTTTTTGTTGGATATAAGAATATTTTGGAGACGAGGGTTTCGAAGGAGAAAGTCGCGACATTTTCTTCTCAATCCACTCGTTAATAAGATGTTCAAACAATTAGTCAGATTATAAATCAATTTACAACGTTTTACAAATTCACTACTGAATTCAACTCGAAAGAAACTAAAACTTTAAAAAATGGAAATTACGGTCGAGGTTTTTTTATGTCTCTTCTAGTCTCTCATATTATCATGTGTGTAATTATGTACAAATATGATAATGAACAATAAGACTAGAAAATAAATGATCTATCGATTGAATTTTGTTAATTTAATAGAGAATTTGTGAACGTGAAAATTTAATTAAAATGTTTTTGTTGGGTATAAAAATATTTTGGAGACGAGGATTTCGAAGGGGAAAGTCTCGACATTTTTTTCTCAATTCCCTCATTAACAAAATGATTAAAAATTAGATGGTGAATTAATTTCCAACGTTTTACAAACTCACTACTGGATTCAACTCGAAAGAAACTAAAACTTAAAAAAATGGAAATTACGTTTGAGGTTTTGTTCTCTTCTAGTCTCCCATATTATAATGAACAATAAGACTAGAACATTTCTGACAAAATATGGAGTTAAAATATATGGTCTATCGATTGAATTTTGCTGATTTAATAGAGAAGTTGTGGAACGTGAAAATTTCATTAAGATGTTTTTGTTGCATATAAGAATATTGTGGAGACGAGTGTTTCTAGAGGAAATGTCTCGACATTTTCTTCTCAATCCACTAATTAACAAGATGATCCACCAATTAGTCCCGTGAGAAATTCATTCGTAACGTTTTACACATTCACTACTGAATTCAACTCGTAACAAAGTAAAAGTTTAAAAAAGGTGATGAAGTTTGACGTTTTTCACGTTTCTTCTAGTCTCACACATTATCATATGTACTCTTATGTATATTAACAATAAATTTTAAAAAAGAAGAAATAATATATTTATATCCGACTTTACTCCCTCAAATTACGTAATCCTAGTGATTTTACATAAAATAAAAATTTAATCACATGGAAATAATGCAAAAGAAAAATATTTGCATCGAGTTTTGGAGACATTATAGGTACATTTGAAAAACAAAATCTGGAAGACTTTCTTCCGTGCATGAATACAGATGCCAGATAATAATGAATAAGGAATAGATACATGCAATTATGTTTGCAACGTGGCGAACCAATACGTCACGTGTCCTTTGCATAGTCGAAAAATAAACAACGATGATTATAAAACAGAGGAGAAATGAACAGAAGTCATTTAAATTAACGTGGATCGAGTAGAAAATTGTTGATGGATTACCTGGGGCTCGGGGGCCGATGTATTTGTATCACCAACATTTTGAGGACCAGCAGTTATAATGTTAGCTGGCACTGCTGGCCCAGGGGGTACTGATCCTTGTGATGAGGTGACTGGTGGTGCACTGTCATTTGTGATAGTGCCAGTCACTGGGGGAGACGGTGCCTGGGTGATAGAGGCTGGAGCGACAGCTGAACCGTACGTCACACCTCGCATTACTTGACGCGGTGTCACTGATCTTGCGATACCAGTTGCTGGAAAAAATAAATGGAGGGAGTGATAAGAAATGGAGATGAACCAAATATAAATGAATGATGAAGTCATATTTATGAAGGAGCTTCATTGCCTAAACGTAAGATTGAGGGTGCCATTGACTTAATTAATTATTAGAAATGAGTGCGAGGGCAAGGAATATAAATAAATACTTGGGAGAATGTGATTTCGAAGGTTCATTAATATTTTTGCTGTTGGAAAAATTGAAATTTCATTGATAGTTTAATAGTAATTGTCAGGAAAATGACATTGAATTCGATAAAAGTGGATAAAAAATTATTCAGTTTGTAATGTGACTAAAAATTTAATGGAAACCCAAATTTTGTAATAGCAAATCATAAATATTCACTGAAAAATTACACGGAATTTTCAGTGATGAAATTTCTTGAAATTTCAGTGGAAGAATGCACTTGATGAAAATTCCCAAAAATTTCACTGGAAATTTCATCCCAAAAATTTCAATAGTGTCGTGTATTTTCACCATCTACATCTGAAAGCTTGGTCAAAAAAATTTCAAAACTTCTTGAAACATCCTCCACTTTGGTTTCAAGAATAAAATAAATAAAAACCGATGAATTTAGAAAATAAACTCAAGGAGAAATTGCACGAAACTCTTCAACCTTTGTTTATACATTTAATTGACTTCATTGATTATTACAGATAATTGTGAAATGATATTGCAGATGTCACGAGGATCTCACTAAACAATTTTTCACAATATTTGACAAAAAAAAATCATTTTTATCAATAATTATAATTTTTGTCAAGAGTTCATACATTCCAAATGTTCAAGTCATGTTATTTAATTCTGATTCTGATAGAAATGACTCATATATCGTCCTCTACTGAATAAAAACAAAATTATTTTGCAAAAATCCACAAAATACCCATGAGATCCCCAAACTTTCTCCTCATTCTGAAATTATCTTGGGAATTAGTTCACGAAGGACAGTTTCAATATTTTATTTCTGTAGCTTTTGTCCACGTCTGAATGGGGATTTTTAATTCCTCCTTTTACTTGGTCATAAAATTCTGATCACCATCACAAATGCCCCACCGATATTTCCTCGGATAAGTCTCCTTTATTCCAAAAGTCTTCATGAAAGTTTAACGTTTCTGCTCGAGATGAAATGAAATGAAAGGCAATTCTAAAGAGACCATTGAATGGCATTGAAAGTATAATCATACTCCTTCTGCTTTATTAGTTTCAAAGTTATCGAGGATGCTCGTTTTCATTTCGCTCATGCAGTTCCCATTCATCCACGTGTCTTTTAACGGCTGATTGAATTTCAAATGAGTATGGATACTCACTTGGTCCACTCACTGGTACACTGGTTACTGTCGCTGTGGGTTGGACAACTTTACTACTGACCATTGGGGTTCCCGTACCTAGAACAGGTGCTCCTTTCACTGTAAAAATTCATTTTTTGGGTTAAAATCATCAAATGAATCAAAGCGAATCAGAGGAGAATTTTAAACATTAATAGATTGATTATAGGTTTTATCAGGTAAAATGAATTGTGGTCGTCAATAAAAAAATCAAAATAGATTCTGCTAAAACTTTCTTCTTTTAAACATTCCCTTCGTCCTAATAAATTCTGTAAATTGTTCAAACTTTTGTCAAACTCGTTGGTTTCTGGTAGAATTTTTAACATGAATAAAGTTTTCACGATTTTGAAGAGATTATTTCTAGGGTGGGAAATTAATTGTTCATAAATTGTCGATAAGAAAAGGTACAACTCTCCAATGATTTCAATTATTCTTTCTAATTTAAGAAATACACTCGCCAATTTTTTTTTCAAATTCTTTAGATGTCTCTCAACGATTCAAGAGGAAAAATTAAATTTATACCTTCAAAGTTAAAACAACACAATCATTGCCAAATGTTCGGTAATCTGGAGCCAAATGGTAGTTCTGATATTCAACTGCCAATGTTGAAAAGGATTACAACGAAAAAAACAATTTCAACGTTTGTTACTCACGTGGAATTTAACTAATTTTTCAAATGGAGAATAAGACTTTGAAAGCAAGAAACGAATAATAAAAATAATTGAAGAGAGTCCTGAGGTGTTTTGTGCACGTCCAGAACTAATCAAAAGAAACGGATCAAATCATCAAGATTATTCCTTCGAAATAAAAGAAAAAACACTAACATGCTTGTGTCGCCACCCCAGCAGGTCTCAGGGTGGGCATAGCTGCCAAATTGGCGGGTTTAGCAGGTGGTGGAGGTGGTGTTGCACCCAAGGGAGCCCTGATACCCCCACGTATCGCAGCCCCACTCTTCCACGACTCCAACTCTGCCTTCATTCTCTCCAACTCTGTCTCAAACTCCTTCGACTTCTTCTCCTCCTTCGAAAGTGCCTGTCGATACTGCTGCCTCTCCATATCAAATTGAGCCAACTGTTTCTCCAACTCTGCCTCCATCTGAAGTGACTTCTTGCTCTCCTCCTCCAGACCCTCTGCCATCGAATCAATCCTCACTTTTTCCTCACTCAGTATCTGCGCCAAATCCTCGGAACGTTTACGCTCCTCGATGTACTTCATTATTATCTTTTTTCGTTCTGCTAGGAGGAGGAGAACAATTTGTTTCTGTCTACTTTTCTCCATTTCTAGGGCTAAACTCTCCTTCTTCAATTCCATCTCCAGTCGTTGCTTCTCCTGTCTCTCGAGTTCTAATTCCTTCTTCAATCTCGTGCGCTCTTTCTCGAGGCCGTATGTTATGTCGTCACCCTGGGCCGTGTCATGCTCGTGTTTACGTTTCTCTTCTTCCAATTCTTCGATTACCTTCAATTATAATTATAAAAACTGAATTTTAAGCTTGAGCGGAGACAATTAGTCTATCAATAATGAGAAAGTGAAATCACAGGGATTCGTTTCAACTCGTAATCAGTGCTTGAAAAAATATGGAAACCTACACAGAGAAAAATTACCAAACGAGTCAAGTAATCGTGGAGTGAAGTCCGTTATATTGGGGCAAAAAGTGCGAGACGAATAGTTCATTTTTCTCGGCTCATTCGGGATAATTCACCAAACGTGAGAGTCATTTGTGCCAACACTGTAAAATTTACCATTTATTCCATGCAAAATTATTCCATGAACGTAAATCATAGGGAACTTACGTAAATTTTTTTCAATTTTCCAATCTCAAGTTTAGGACCTGAATAATTCAGTAGCGAAGTGGTCAACCGTTTTTAGTCAATTTAGTCTTTAGTTGAGTTTTCCAGAAATATTTCCGAATTTAAAGGAGATAGCAAAATTTTCATAATAGCCTTGTTTGAAACGCAACTAAAATTCCAGAACATTCTGGTCGACTATCGGCCTACTTCGAAAATCTCCGGGACCCTTCGGGTCATCAGTCATAAGTCACCGAAACACACGCGAATCAGTTTAGGCTTAGCCTCTCATCGTACAAGTCTATCTCGGGCAAATCACCTGTACAAGTTTTATATCGCACCTCACCGAGTACAGTAGCTCTTTGAACCTCACCTAGCTCACTAGTAATCAAGTACATCACCGGTCTTTGTAAGATCACCGTTTTGTTCAGTACATCACCTCTGTTAATTAACTCAGTATAAATTCAGTGACTCAACGAATTGAAAGTGAAGAGACAATCATCAATTTAATTAGACATTCAACAATTTAAGACCAAAGAGTGTAATAATTAATTGACAAAGTGGTTCGATCCCACAAAATAAAGTGTGGTTTTTAAATCCGGCTCATCAGTAATTTTCCCAACAACTCCCTCCACATTTTCATCCCACATCCACTCTAAATTTAGTCATTCACCAAACAAGCCTTTTTTGTAGAGCGAATTGAGTGCTACTAAAAAAGTTATTAGAAAAATTTTGCTATCTGTCTTAGATTTCGAGATATTCATTGAAAACTGGCCAATAGCCAAAATCGACTCAAACCGTTTGACCACTTCGCTACTGAATTCATTTATCATTCACAAACGTTTGAAATATTGCTCATTAATTAATAATTAATCGCTAAAAGTTGAAGATTTTAAATTTTTTGGAGTCGCTAATGACGTCATATAGACGGTCGAACGCTGGACCAATCACAAAATGTCTCGGGCTAACCTAACCCAATCTTGACGTGCGCCTCGGCCAATGGATGACGGCAACTCCCCACTCTCTCCACACTCGACCAATCAAGGGTTACTTGACAGTCTTCATGATGTCATGATCGAAAAATTGGTCTCGAAAACGACTGATCTTCAATCAATTATCATGAAACATCTAGACAATATTTCTCCATAATTTTAGCCATTTAGCTGTCAATATTTTATGAAGAATTGGTGCATAGGAGAATTATAAAGAATTAAGTTTCACGCAAGTTCCCTATTTCTGAATATTGCGGAATTTTTATTAAAATTAAAAATTTCAATTTTAATTTCAATTTTTCCCAACTGTCTCGGGAAAGTTTACTAAACGTCAGGGTAATTTGTGCCGCAACTGAAAACTCCAAAATTATCCCATGAGCGTGAATAATTGCTCAACATTGCGTAATCATTCGCACATGTGTAGGAATTTTTCTGCGGCGACGAACGATTTCTTCAGGCCTTTTTAAATATTAATAAAACCACATAAAAAACCTCAATAAATATGTACCGCTAAAATCATCAAACAAATCAAGTAATCGTGCAGCCTAATCCATTTCTAGATCTTTTTCATCCTACATCGGAGCAAAAAGTGGGAGACGGATAGTGCCCTGATGGAAAAAACTCCTTAAATCCTATTGGAAGAAAAAGGATAATTGGAAATAATGACATTATTGCCGTTGACCCATTATTTCCGATTCAGGTTAGTAGCGTAATACTGATACGTATGGAAAAATCCAATAGGAAAACCTAGCGAATTCTCTAGAAAATTCTATTGAGAATTCTGGAGAAAATCTATCGGATTTCTATGGGATTTCTATTGGAATTCTATTAGTTTTTTGCGCTGATTCTATTGCATATTTCATACGGAAAATTCAATAGATTTTGAATTTCTTTCTCCAGAATCCCAATAGAATTTTCTAGCTAATTCGCTAGGTTTTCTCATTGGATTTTTCCATACGTGTCAGCATTGCGCTACTAACCTGAATTGGAAATAATGGGTCAACGGCAATAACGTCATTATTTCCAATTACCCTTTTTTCTTCCAATAGGATTTAAGGAGTTTTTTCCACCAGGGTGAATTTTGCTCTGTTGACTCGGGAAAATTTACTAAACGTTAGGGTAATTTCTACCAAAACTGTAAAATTTACAATTTTTTTATTCCATCAAAAATTATCCCATAAACGTGAATAATTGCTCAATGATTTTTTTTACCAAACGCATTATGATAAATGTTCACTTTCGTCCGTCCTAGGTATCCGGTCTGAATATTACGGTAAAAAATATCACGCCAAATTATTACGGTAAATAATATAACAATCTAAATTGTTACAGGGTCCAATTATTATTGGTCTTTTTCATTACAGGAAGTAATATTGCTGTGTAATTATCTCTTTATTCGTTTTTTCAACACTATTCACAACTTTTGACTTTTTCAATAGATATTATTGAAATTATTAAGTGTTGACAGCGTTATTATTGAATAATTCGTTTTGTTCATTTTATCATGGAACGAACTGTCGAGCTAATTCTGACAGTTTTTAATAATATTTGCCGTTAGAAGGACGGTGGCGATATACAGTAGTATATATATATACCTGTAATAATAAGAATAATAATGATAATAATAAAAATAAAATATTACAGTTATAAAACTGAAAAATCAATTATTTGAAATAATAATAATTCTTTTCAGTAAAATATGATATATTTTTTTTAAGGTAAATGATAGTTTTTTTTATCTAAAAAAAAAACCTATCATCATATTTTACTGAAAAGAATTATTATTATTTCAAATAATTGATTTTTTCAGTTTTATAACTATAATATTTTATTATTATTATTATCATTATTATTCTTATTATTACAGGACAGTTCGACAGTTCAATGGTATGCTATTATTGCGTAATTATAATTATTTCGAGGCACTCTTCTCGAGCATTCGATTATAACTGACTTCTGTTGAAGAATGTTCGGTATTCCATGTGAATGTTTTGAGAAATTTCATTTTTTTTATTAATGTAACAGTACCGACTCATACATTTGGTGAGTAATCGATGATAACTGACCTCGTGTCCCTTTATTCAGCGTTGCGCTATTATTGTATTAATTTAATTTTCGGGTAATTTCCCATCGCGTAAATCAGGTTTTGTCCTTGATGTCATCTCTCTGTGTACGGTAATATTACAGTTCAATAATATCTTGTTATTCCATATTCCATAATAATTTTGGTCGTAATATTATTGCGTAATATTTTTAATCGTAGAATAATGGTTCCGGAATATTCTGATCCGTAATCTCTCCTCATGTCCTTCCCCTGGGTGCCAGAAAAAAATGAAAAAAAATATCTACTAGTGCGGGAGATTTTACTGTGTAGGGAGGATAATTTTTGCATTTGTAGATGTTTTTTTAGCGAACAAAATGAAAGATTTCCACCAAAGTTCCATTTACTTTACTTCATTTTAGTTGATAAGGGGTTGGAAGGGGAATAAAATGTAAAAACCCGACAGGGTATACAGATAATTAAACAATATATATCTTCTTATCTTAAATATAATAAATCTGTTGTCCATTCTTTGACTGCGATTCACGAAAAATGCGTGAGTGGATTTCAATGGTATTTTTACCATTACATAGTTTAGGGTCCCCGATCGGCTTTAGGCTGTAAGTTATTGCGCTACGGTGCATAGTTTAGAATGCACCGCAGAAACTTCTGAAAAATTCTGGAATATTCTCGAGTTTACGAGATTATTTTTGAAATTTCTACACTTTGAGAATATTTTCGGGTTTTACAGAAAGTTTGAGAAAATTCTTTGGTTTCACAGAGAGTAACAAAGAACTCTTGAATTTTCAGTTGTAATACCACTAGTGCTTCAAAATGATCGGATATTTTCCGATAGCTTCGTTGCCTAGGAACGATTGTGTCAAATTTTACAGGTTAAAAATTTTTGTGCAAAATTTTACACACTCGATCCTAGGCAGGGAAGCTTGAGGAAAATATCCGATTAACGCGGCTCGAGCGTAGCTATATACATAGGGAAAAGCAGGGATTTTTTGAGACATCCCCACGCTCTTACGACTGAACCAAAAAATATAATCCTTAGCTAGAAATGTAGCTTACTTTACCTGGCTGCGGCTGAAATAGATAAGAAAGTTTTTCTCTATTGAAAAATGATGCGAATTATAATGTAAATATGCAAGCTGGTTTAACACATAACCCCCGCCATTGGAGACAAGTTCACAGCGCTTTGGCTGTCAAACCAACTCACAGGTTTGTATTATGATTTACCCCATTTTCCAACTGAGAAACGATCTAGGATCCACTTCAGCCGCAGTCGGATAAAATAAGGTACATTTCTAGCTAAGGATCATATTTTTGGTTCAGTCATAAGAGCGTGGGGATGTCTCAAAAAATCCCCGCTTTTCCCTATATATATAGCTACGCTCGAGCCGCGTTAATTTTGAAGCACGAGTGGTATTTGACGGATTAGTTTTCCACTCGGATTTCGGTCAAGCAGAGTGCAGTGGACAGCATCCGGATACATTTACACAGCCATACATTTACAACCCACTTTTTTGTTCATCTGTCACACAGAATATTAAACGTGAAATGCGTTGAAAGATGAGAAATATTTGAAAAGCTACTAGTGAATTTCCGTCAGAAATTTTTTAAAAATGTCTGAAATAAAACTGTTTGACAACCTCAAATACTGCACTCTGATTGGCTGAAATCCGAGTGAGAAAAATAATCTAGAAAATTTGAAGGAATTCTCGGGTTTTCTAAAAAAAAATTGTTTGTTTCAATTCAGTTTGTTTCAATTCAGCAATTCAATTTCAAATTCTGATTGACTAGTTGTGTACCCCGGCTTCGCCCGAGCAGAATGAGAGAAAATTGAACACCGGGATTTTGGAAAATTCCTGCCATTAAAAAAACACCTCGATGTTTTCAACTTTTCTAGAACCCGCGAAAAGTCAAGAAAATTTGAGGATTTTGCAAAGAAAATGAGAAAATTTTCGGGTGTTCTAGAACAGTCAAAAACATTGGGGTGTTTTTTTTCAATTCCAGGAACTCTTAAAAATCCTGGTATTCAAATTCCCTTATTCTGAACGGACGAAACCGGGCCACACAGTTAGTGTAAGATATTCTCCGCAGAAAATATTTTTAATTGAATTACAGGTTCGATCCATGATTACCTTTCGTACACTGAGAAAAAAAATTTCTAAGAAATAGAAATTCTATGATTGATCCAAATCGTTCATCGATTGAATAGTCGCAAAAGAAAATGCTATTGTAAGAAACAAATATCGATTTAATTTTAATGTTTTCGATTGAAAAAGAATGAGATCAGTTGTCTAAACTTTTTTTTTGTTGCTATCTACTTTTCAGTACATACAAAGCAATGTCTGTATTATCAGATATCTTCTTCGAATAAAGCATATAATTATCCAATTTATCAGCGTCACGATATCCCGCAAAAGAATATCTGTTCGATTGAAAGCAGAATTCATAGATGCAATAAAATATTCATTTGGCCTATGAGGAACATATTGTTGGATACTCATTGATGCGAGACTTTCGCGAAGCGCAGTTTCTTGTTTACGACAAACGCAATTCTTCATCATTTGAACTGATTATTTTTCCATTGCAATTGTGAAAAAAAAATTATTTGCGCCAAATCCGAAGCGTTTGAACTAAACCAAAATTGAATTGTATGAAATCGATTTTGTCGCAAAAACAAGTATTTTCTAAATTCGATAGAATAAACAAAATATACTATACTATAACAAAATCGATTTCATACAATCCAATTTTGGTTTAGTTCAAATCGATATTTGTGTCTTACAATAGCATTTTCTTTTGCGACTATTCAATCGATGAACGATTTGGATCAATCATAGAATTTCTATTTCTTAGAAATTTTTTTTCTCAGTGTATAGTAAAATTTGCTGCGATTTTCTAGATACTTCACGTATGAAAAAATCGTATTGAAATTTTCTATACGAATTGCGTATAAAAATTCTATAGGATTTCCGTATATGATATTCAGATATTTCTATACAAATTATTTCTATACATAAATTTTTTCATGAATTTTTATTTTCATACGAAAGATGTCTAAACGCGCCAGAGAAAAATGTAGAGAAATGTTGCAACTCCATACGAAATGTTTCTATACATGGGGAAGTGGATCGTATAGGATCAAACCTATAGAAATCGTATAGAAATAATTTGTATAAAAATATCCGTATAGAAATATCCGAATATCATATACGAAAATCCTATAGAAATCCTGTACGCAATCCGTATAGAAAATTTCTAAACGATTTTTTCATACGTGTTCTTATTCAACTTTTCCCTCCATGATAATGATGACAAAAAAATCAATCGGAATCTCATTTATAACTTTGACTTCCTTCCACGGAAAAATCCTCATGAAATACCCTACCAGTTCGAGGGATTTTGCTGTGCAGGGAGGAGAATTTTTAATTAACAGATGTTTTTTTATTGAACAAATCGTAAGATTTCCTTCACAAAAAGTTTTTCTATTGAATTATAATTTCACTCCACGATTACTTTTCGTATAGTAAAATTTGCGATTTTCTAGATATTTTTTATTCAACTTTTTCCCCCGTATAACGATGATAACAAAACAATCATATGGAATCTCATTTACAACTTTAACTTCCTCCTGCGGAAAAATCCTCATGAAAACTGATATATTTGACATGACATTCAAAGATATCTATTAAAAACTGACATCGAAATTCAGCTGATTTGTCAAATTTACTTTTTATTTAAAAATATTCTGCGCGATATTCGTAACTGAAGAGTCGGTTATTTCCATACCTGATGAGATTGTGAAGTGGTAAATGTTCAGATGGAATAATGTAAAAATGTTAATGAATGGTTCGTTAAAGTTGATAAAGTAATTATCCAGATAATTAGCAATCCTGAGAAAATTGGAGAGACTTAACCACTCCTCCATTGAATTCAGATAAGTTGGAACCAAGTTGATGAAATTTGTATAAAAGTTCAAGGAAATTAATCGAAGATAATGGTCATTTTGGCAGTGCTACAGAATATATTATTGCAAATTTTCGCATGTAATACCACTCGAGCTTCAAAATTATCAGAGATTTCCTGGTAGGTTGGTTGCAAACAACCAACCAAGAAAGGAAGGAAGGAGTCAAGTTTTTTCTGAAAAACTTGACAATACCTGATCAATTTTGAAGCTCGAGTGGTATTCGGAAGAGAATTTTTCCATCCAAATTTCGGCCAAGAGAATTGCACAATGAGACAAAATCCATCTATCAGTTCCAATGAGGGGCTCATTCGACCAGGAAATCTTTTGTTTTTCATATATAGTATATCAACATTTAAAAATACCAGCTGAATTATCAAAAATTATTAGTAGTAATACCCCAATAGCTTCAAAATTATCGGCTATTTCCCGATAGCTTCATTGCAAACAAATGAAGGTGTCAAGTTGTGCAGGTCAAAAAATCCGGAGCGCTTTTCTGCAAAACTTAACACGATGGTTTGTTTACAGGGGAGCTTGAGGGAAATACTCGATTAATTTGGAATCTCGAGGAGTATTTGTCGGATTATTTTTCCCAATCGGATTTTGGCCAAGCAGAGTGCAGTGGACAACATCAGGAGGTGAATTCGGGAAGATTTGAACGAATTATGTTGATAGAATAACCCGATTTCCATATACTGTCAAATATAAGATTCTATCTGCAATGAGCCGAAAAAATGAAGAGCTACTGCGAAATATTCTGGTAAAAAAATGGAGAACTTCGAAATCTCCAAAGCTAGGAGAAATTATCCGAAATAAAGCTGTCGGCTAGCCTCAAATACTGCGCTCTGATTAGTCAAAATCCGATTGGGAAAAATAATCAGTTGAATACTGTGTTGACTATATAAAATAGGAGTCGAATAGTGGAATTCTATTGGCTGAAATTTGGATGGGAAGAATTCTCGTAATAATTCAACATTTCTCTCGATAATGCAGTACATACCGCTCTATGCCGGATTTCCGCGTCCTCCAACATCTCCACCATTCGTCTCTGGCAGGCTTTCTGTTTGAGCATCCTCATATTAAAATCCGGAATCTTTCGTTCGATCTGATCATTGTCATTCCGGATTACTCCCCCGACAATTGCAACGTCTCGTGCCAGAGCCACATGGGGATCAGAAGTACCACTCCGATACCGGGAATTCAGCAGATGCTTCATCTTCTCTGACTTGAAATTAATAAAATAACCCAATCAGCGTCAGACCATCACAATCTGAGATTCAAAATTGATTCAATTGCCCCAGTTCTCCGTCACCAAGCCCCATAAACCATTCATCATTGCTTTATAGTTATCAAGTATTCAGGATCACTCTGCAGAGTGCAATAATACTGGTGGCCCGAGTTTTCCCCCGTTGACAAATTCCCGGACCTTTTTCCTCGTCAATTTTTCCCCGGTGAATTTTTCCCATTGAAGAATTCCCGCAAATTTTTTCCCCGCCAATCCTTTCTCCGCTAATTGTTCTCATTGAGATTAATTTTCCTTACGAATTTTTTTCATGCGGAACTTTGTTTGGAGTTTTTCTTCCGAAAACGCTAATTGAATTTCTTTTTCTTTCTCTTAGAAGCAAAAACATGAAGAAATTAATGACAAAAATCTTTTTTTTTCATTCGCAATTGTTTAGTCAATTCACTGTTCACCGACCAATATTAATATGTACATTTTAAATTGACATTCAATTTTTTGTATGTTGCTGATTACATTGAAAATAAATAATTTTGGCTTGTTAGAATTGAATTTTATTTTAACGAAAAGGTGTGTGTAAATTATTCATAATGTTCAGAAATTGTTGATTTCAAGAAAATAATGGATATTACGAATATGTCTGACTTCATATTTTTCATGAAAATTTCACATGCGTTTTTTTCTAGAGAACATTGGAACTTTTCTGGGGAACTTTTTTTTTGGGGGGAAAATTTCCAGGGGAACAATTTTCCAGGGATTTTTCTCCGGGGAAAAATCCGGAAATAATAATAATAATAATAATAATAATAATAATAACAAGCAGGGATAGCAAGCATATCATAGTGAGCATGTAACTGAGTGATGTTTTGATGCTTTCTTCGCCATCAATAAATTGATGGTATGCTTCCGAATGGTTTGAGCATAATAAATTTTCTTCACTCTCGAATATTTTTCTCCATTTTTGCAGTTTATGCCTCTCCTCTCCCCCCCCCCAAACCAAACTCTTTCTAATGCCAGTTTTCTAATGCATTCTGATGGAAAAAGGAAACTTCGTGCCAAATTTCAAGTTTTTACCCCAACCTCCCCTAATACTAATAAGTAATAATTAATAATAATAGTAATTATTATTAATGATAATAATAATAATAATAATAATAATTATTGTTATTATTATGATTATTATTAGTATTATACATGTGTTAATAATTCACGAAAACCTCTTGTTTGAAATCCTGTCTAAATCGTGAGGCTGTCAAGGACTCTCTTCACCACGTGACCCAATTATTCGCGTCAAATCGTAACTCATATAAAACAATCGGAATACAGGGTATCTCAAAATGAAATTTCATCCTCATGAGTAGAGATGCGAAGGCGTCAATGACGGCCACATAACCGTCAATGCGTCGAGGCTCCAATGACCGCCGATCCGGTCACAAAAAATTTTTCCATGACGGTCATTTTGCATCTATATAGATGAAACACTTTTTTGTTCATCTATTTTTTTTTCTAATCAACTAGAACTATTGACTTTATTTACTTACTTTAGTATCTAGAACTCTTGGCTTCGTTTATTTTGTTCCAAAGATGAAAAGTGTAATCATTCTCTCATGAGTATACAAAAATATATGTAAGTACATGTTTCATAATTTTATAATTAAAAAAAACTATTGTACAGTTGTACACATACATTTCGAGTCTTCCATAAAAACCTTATAATAAACAGTAATTGATAATCAATAATAAATTGAACGAATAAACGATGCCAATTATGTAGAAATTATATGACCGTCACAAAAAGCAATATATTTATGACGGTTTATTTATTTTGCACCTATATGGTTTGGTAACGGAAATTACTATTTTACTCTTTTGACGGTCAAAAATTCTTTGCGACGGTCACAAAAAATTTGTGACCGTCATTTGCCATTAGAAAGTTCGGGACGTCACATCACCGTCACAAGACCGTCATTTTTTGCTCACATGACACAATCACAAAAATGACGGTCATTTGGCATCTCTACTCATGAGGGTAATTCGGAGGGCTTATTTGAGGACAAAAACTCTAACGACAAAGTTATTGATCAAAAAAGCGAAAATCAGCCGCAAAACAGCCTCCGATGAAAAATCTATATCTGCTCTGTCACTTGAGATTGAATTGTATATCATTTGCTTCGGAATGGATGATTTGTAATAGCTCACATTTAAGTTTCTAATTTTTGGGGTAGAGGAAATAAACATGGTCTAAAAAAAATCCGAATATGCGATGTTTAGATGGTTTCTGTGTGTAGTCTTTTTTCTTCATTTTATTTCTCGAAATTTTATAAAGGATCAATCGAATTTCATGAATTTTTTCATGAATATAGACTTTAAAAGCTCTACTCATTGACACCAATTAAAATTAATCAATCGATTTTGCATACGGATTCGAAAAAATTGACACTTCCAAAAATCGATTTTTTTCGAATCAATTGATTATTCGTCTCAACGACGCCAGAACACCTCATGATAATTAACGATTTGATCCAAAAATGTAAAATTCAAATTTAGAGCGTACAACCAAGAGACACGATGTATTAAATTTCCAACAAAATTAATGTAACTATCGCTGTAAATAATTCTGAAGGATTAATACATTCAATAAATTGACAAAAAAAATTGATTATTCACCAATTGCAATCTCTAGAAGTTCATCGGTTGAATTTGTGTTACATCACCGGTAAATTCACCTCAATCTTTCGTGTAAATTCACTAGTGCAACGAACAGTATTAAACAATTGTCAAGGACAATTATCGATGCTGAAACTCAACTCGTACTTCAACAGTTCGTTTATTTATTTTTGAACAGTCCATCTAAATTATTGTTAATGAATTGACTTGGCTGAGGCCTAAATCACCGGTATAATTAGTGAACAAATTCTCAACCTGCAATTTCCCCCTTCCTTGCCATCCTGGGAATCAACGAAAACTCAATAGATTTTTAACATCTCTCGTTGGCCCAATCGACAAATTCTCCCGCAAGCCTCTTAGTTACCTACCATCATCACCAAAACTCCTCCCCCACCCCTCAACTTTCCCCCACCGTAACAAAACTCAATTAATGTTGAATTACCTTGAGAGCAGCAATTACAATATCTCGAGCCTGCAATTCTCCCTCGAGATAACCAAGCAGTTTCAGCAAGTCCGTCTTACTCAGCTCCATCTTCGGATTACGCTGTCAACCCAAAATAATGATGAAATCGTTAGAATCGTTAGAAAAATTATTAACAAACAGTGAAATGAAATGAAACTGATGGAGCGAAATATTGACCGGCAGAGGATTTAATTTAGGGGATTTTTAGGGGTGCAAGAGTTAAACAATTATATGTACAGATGTTTTTCAAGTACGAAGAAGCTTGTACATGACTTCAAAATATTCGAAGACCCCTAGATTCACATAAATTGAATCTCCCATTGGAAAATCTTTCGCTCGGTTCGAATTCATTAAAATGAGATAAACTTAAAGTAATTTTTTTTTTTCGATCTGAAGAGAAGATTTCTTTGAAGATTTTTGAAGATCTTTGAAGATTTCGAAGGATTTCAAAAAATTTCAGAGAATTTTATAGAGCTTTCAATGGATTCCAGAAATTTTTTGAAAAATTTTATGTACTTTCAAGCGATTAGAGTAGAATTTCAATCATATGCCTTTCTCCGCAAGATTTCATGACATTCTTGAATTTCTTCACAAAGTTCCTTGTATTTTATGATACTTTCTGTTATTTCGGATATTTGAAAGAATTTCATTCGATATTTGAGAATTACTTCAGAATTACTCAACATGATGAATCATTGGAAAAATTATTCACAATCAGTGAAAAGAAATGAAGCTGGAATAAGCAGAATATTCCCCAGCAGAGGATTCAATTTAGGGGATTTTAGGGGTGCAAAGATCAAACTATAATATATAAAAATGTTTTTCAAGTGCGAAGAAGTTTGTGCATGACTTCAAAATATTTGAACACCCCTAGATCCGCAGAAATTGAATCTCCCACTGTGAAATCTTTCGCTAATTTCGGCTTCATTAAAATGAAATAAACCGAGGGTAATATTTTTTAGATTTCAAGAGATTTCAATGAATCTTGAAAATTTTTCAAAGATTTCCAAGAATTTTAGGAAATTTCATAGAGCTTCAAAGGATTTCAAAGACTTATTGCAAAATTTCATATACTTCCAAGCGATTAGAGTTAAATTTTAAGATTTCAGGTGATTAACATATCCCTTTCTACGCATATTGTGATCAATTGAAAATGAAATGATTCATGAAATTCCTGAATTTCTTCACAAATTTTCTGGAGTTTCATAAGATTTCATAGTATATCAGATATTTGAAAGAATTTTAATCAATTCTTCATCGCATTTCATGAGTGGTTACTCCCCTCTTCTGCACAAAAAAAAACTTATGAAAATGTCTCAATCTTTCTGGGGTTCAAAGATATTCATCAAAGGCTCATGGAGTTGATTTAACGTATCTCGTGATAAATCAATGTCATTCGAAGATTAATTTCCACAAAATATCACGCAATTCAAGAGATAGCTCAATATTCCAAGATATTGTCTCCTGGAGCAGATAGGTCTTTAAATGAGCCCATGAGAAAAGTGTATTTGCGTTATTCAATGAAAACCGAAAACAACAATCAAAATAGACATCCAATATTCAAATTCATAAATTAATAATTCCTAAATTCGTTCTTTATAAATTCGCAAAGGGTCCAATTTTTTTTGTAGGGCCGACAGAAATCTCTACCAAAGGAATCATGGGAATTTTCTCCAACTCTATTAGACTGTTGAAAATTTTTGTCTGAAATTTCCAATAGAGATAATCATTTCTTCGAAATTATTATCGACGACAGATCCACTGAAATTTCACGAAATTTCGTCATTGAAAATTAACAGTTTGGTAAAAGAATCAATGGAAGCTGTCAATTTGAGTTCAATAATTTCATAAAAATTAATAGAACTCATGAAAATTCAGGTAAATATGTCCTTAAATTTTCATATAATTGAATATTCAGTGTAATTTGGTATTGAACATTCAAGTTTTTACTGACAATTAGACAAAAATTAGGAATTCTCGTCGTTCTGCGGCTCAAAAGTTGAGAATTCCATTGAATGTTCAGTAGTAATACCAGAACTTCTCCAAAATTATCGGTTTCTGATAACTTCGTTGCACAGGAAAGAATGCAAAATCATGGTTCTGCAAAATTTGATACATGTTTTACCTCTCCAGGTAAGTTTGAGAAAAATAACCGATAATTTTGTAGCACTAGTGGCAAAATGAATTGTTTCGATGCCGTCTACATAAATCAATCAAAACGTGTATACACGTTCATACAAACTTTTCGAGATATTCTCGTTTTTCTGTTTTTGCATTAAAAGCCTTGTACGCGCTCTAACTTGTGCAAAAATAGAGATATCAATTTGTTTTCAGTAGATTTTTCTTGTAATCTAATATCGAAAATCATCCTGGTTCCCCTCAGTGAGATGAATTCTGCCTACCGAAATGCAGAATTTTGAGGAAACAAAAAAGCAGAGCTACTGTCAATGTTTAACCGACAAATCAAGAGTTGGAGACAGGAGTTTATACGGGAGTTTATATAGGGGTTTATTTGGTGTTTTAATAGCCGGTTTTTATATTTCACTAAAAACAGGAGTTTGTAAAGAGTTCCAGATCTTGTCACGTCACAGAATATGGTTGAATAGAATTTTGGAGTACGCACGAGGGGAACCAGGATGATTTTCGATATTAGATTACAAGAAAAATCAACTGAAAACAAATTGATATCTCTATTTTTGCACAAGTTAGAGCGCGTGCAAGGATTTTAATGCAAAAACAGAAAAACGGGAATATCTCGACAAGTTTTTCTGAACGCGTACACACGTTTTGATTGATTTATGTAGAAGGCATCGAAACAAATGTTTTGGAAAAAAATTGAAATCGGTCCACTAGTTTGTAAGATATTCACGGAAAATGATTTAAAAAGAATAGCTTTTTCTCAAAAACTACTGGACCAATCGGGCTGAAATTTTGCACAGAGTTAGACCCATTAAGGTCTATAATCTGACAAAATTTAAGATTTTCTGGAATTACTTTAGCCAGTTAATTACTCGATTTTCTAAAAGTTTAGTACAGCGAAGGTGGCGGTGGACATGTTCGCATATCGACATGTTCCATTCTGCTTCGGAATTGAAGAATTACAAGAATTTTAAAGGAATTCCCTGAAAATTCAGGAGAATTTAGCAGTAAACGTTCACTTTCATTCAAAAATTCACATAAATTCTGGAATTTCTGTCTTCCTGTGGCTAGAAACCTGGGATTTGCCTAAATTTTCAGAGAAACTTGAAATTCTATTGACTGTTACCCCTCCAATCGAATTCAAGGTCCTTTCCCAGTAAATTCAGCCAAATGTCTTCAACAGTGTACAAATATTTTTAATGATCATGCCAAAAACTTAATTTAAAATTTCCCTTCATCGAGTTGGTTAATGTGTTCCACTCCACGAAATATTCTCACGTGGAACACAAAATATTTCAGCCCAACAAATAGTTTCTCTCCTTGAAATGAACTCCCTTCCACCAATTCCCCCAAAAATCCAATGAATAAAAAACCATAAAAACGTTCAGAGTATTCTGAAATTTCCGTTTTCCTTGTATTCCAGATTTCTCTGAACATCCAGGAAATTCCTTAAAAATTCCTGAAACTTCAAGAATTGTAAAGGAATTCCCTGAAAATTCAAGGGGATTTAGCAGTAAATGTTCATTTTCATTTGAAAATTCATGTAAATTCTGGAATTTCCGTCTTCCTGCCACTAGAAAACCTACGATTTTACTCAAATTTTCAGAGCAACTTGAAATTCTATGGACTGTTACCCTTCAAATCGAATTCCATGTCGTTTCCCGGTGAATTGAGCCAAATGTTTTTAAAGAAACATCATGCTAAAAACTTAATTTCGTGAATGATGTTAAATTTCCTTTCATCGATTTGGTTAATGTGTTCCACTCCACAAAATATTCTCACGTGGAATACAAAATATTTCATCTGAACAAATACTTCCTCTCCTTGAAATGAACTCCCTTCCACCAACTCCCCCAAAAATCCAACGAATAAAAAACCATAAAAACCTTCAAAGTATTGGAGCAGCTCTTGTCAAGCGGCTCAAAGTTATTCGCTTTCTGCTGTGGCATTTGTGTTTGATTCTGTCCCTGCGTCAGTCGAAAATCTCCCCCGGAGATGGGTGGCGATGACATTAACAGTGGTGTCGGCGAAGACGTCGACGGTAGAGTGCTACCACCGGCAATCGACCCACCATCCCCAGCACTGCCTCCATGAGTTGCCATATTGTCATCAACGTCAAAAATACCGTACTTGCAATTCCGACTGGGTCCTCCAACGTCCTCCCCAGAGCTGATGTTATCCGTACGTCGTCTCTTGACGCTCAAACCACTCGGAAAAACCCGGCACGAGGGATACGCTAATCTCTTCAGCTTTCACAATTTATTTATCCATTTTCCAGAAAAAAAACCCCAGCCCCTCGCTCACTACCCTATTTTATTACAAAACTAAGTCTCTCACACTAGATACTTGAAGCTACGATCAGCTACGTGTGATACATCGAGTTGACACTGTTCAACACACTTAACACTGATGCCGCGCGTCATTCTCATTGCTATTATCATCGGTTTCACCTTCTGTCCACTTTGTCATAAGCCACACAGAGATATTCGCCTCGGGATTCGGAGGGATAATAAGAAAACCGATCAATTGTTGGGAGCTTGCGAGGGACAACCATAGGGAAACTTGTGAGCTTTACGCAGCCAACTCCAAACGAAACCAATCATTGAGATTGTGGCCCTGTACACACACGGATTAATGCACTACCACCAATTCAACCGACAGATTTTACTGCCTCTGAAGAGTTACTTCAGCCCCTCTCCGTCAATCCTTTAACGTGTGTGTGTGTGTGTGCTGGCTTTTTAAGATTTTTTTAGACTATTTTTACGGTTACACGTGAGTGTGTGAACCTGCGAACACCCCCGCCCCTTCAAGACGCACACTTGTGCAGTTCTGCTCGTACAGTGGGTCGAATGATGGAGGAGCCCGATTGGCTGGGGACCTGGGAGATTGCGGGATCGGATTGGCGGACGGAGGGCAGAGGGCGACTGGGCGCACAGTGACTCGCAAACTACGAGATATCATAACCTCAATCGCTGTGACGGGATCTCTTGTCAAGTTTCGGGGATTTTTTTGGGTATTTGGAGATCATTTGAGTATTCGGGGAGAGAAAATGCCGGAGAGCACGAAGGCTGAGGCTAAGACGTCGAAGGATGTCAAGGCTAGCAAAGAGGAGGAGAAAAATGATATGGTGAGTTGGGGTGTTGTTGGGTTTGGGTTGGGGTTAAGTCGGGGCTCTTTGCGGGCGATTGTGCCCGGGGTTTTCCGGGTTTACTCTGTTTTTATGGGGATGGGGCTGATTTTTGGGGGGTATATTTGTGGGAGGACACATTAACGAGGGGGCAAAGGTTGAGGAAATTGTCTTGATGTAGTGTTTTGGGTAATTTAGTATTTGGGTTGTTTTGGAGATGCTCAGCAGCAAGTTCTACTGTGGGATGAGCTAGCTCGAGTTGATGATTGTATTTTTATGAATATTTCTACTAATTTTTTTATGGAGATATTTTTTCTGCAGCGTGTGGGGAAAGCAACAAAAAAGGTGTCTGAAAAGAAAATTTCAGTTGCGTTGGCTGGCGAGATATTTAGTGAAAAATTACTGAGACAAATTCATCTATTTTGTTGTGCTAGTTCATCATCAATGTGTATAGAAGTAGAAATTCAAAAGAATCTCAAATCTTTGTGCCTCAATGATCACCGAAGTTGAATTATTTTTTTGATGTTTGAACATTGCAGAACTATTTCCTTTGTTATTTCATGTTTTATCAATTAATTAAATGAAGAATATTGGAATTGTTAAATTTACTTGATTGAACCATGGAAATAGGGGTGGGTGGGGTAAAACGGACACTTTTGACTTTTTTTTAAATGTTAATGAGGGGTTGAAATGTTGATGAAATTCAATAATTCTTTTTCAATACAGAAAACAATTCTTTCCCTTTGTGATGAGACTGAACTGAGCTCAATTCAGAAGCAAAGCGGTACACCGGGTTGAGTCGATTTTGACTTTGGCCAGTTTTTGACGAATATCTCGGAATTTAAAGGAGATCGAAAAATTTTTGTCATAACCTTTTTTGTAGAGCCAATTGTGGATTATAAAAAAGGTCATGAGAAAAATTTTGCTATCTCTTATAGGTTCCGAGATATTCATCAAAAACACATCGAAAGTCATAATCGACTTAAACCGGTTTACCGCTTCGCTACTGAATTGATTAATTTGATTGATTAATTGATTAATTTGTTTCTGAATTATTTTTAAAAAGTCTAAAGTGTCCATTTTACCCCACCCTCCCCTAAAAAGGAGAGATGTCTTGATGTAGTGTTTTGGGTAATTCATTATTTGGGTTGATGACGATATTTTTATGAATATTTTTTAATCTAGTGGGGGTGACGCTTTTTATGGAATTATTTTCAGAGAATGGAGAAATAGCAAAGGTGTTTGAAAAAATTAATATTGAGAAAAATGAATTTACTCGTTGTGATAGTGTATCATTGTTGTGTACAGAAAAAGTAGAAATTTTGGAGGAATCTCGAATCTTTGTGCTTCAATAATGACCGAAGTTAAATTCTATTTTTGATTTTGGATCGTCGCAAAGCTTTCTCCGTTGTTATTACGTGTTTCATCAGTTAATTAAAAGAAGAATAGGGGAAATGTTCATTTCAGTTGATTGAATTTACAAAAAACGTGATATTTACAAGAATTTATCAAGACCTTTCTTCGCAGCGAATAGCAAGATTAATAAAAAAAATATGGGAGAATGGGGCAAAATGAAACGGCCGAAAAACGACTATTTGACGCATTTCAATCAGAAAAAAAATTTTAATCAATTTTTTTTCGTCGACTTTTATTTATTCACTTTTTTTACTATCGGAAGTACTGATAACCCGGCTTTGCCAAAAAATATAAACTCAAACATTGATATATTTAATTTTGCAGTCGGAAGAGGACAAGCTCCTGCAGGAGGAGCTGGACACATTCGTGGAGCGTCTGCAGGACCCTGACAAGAAGCACCACTACCCGGCGCTGGAGGCCCTCCGCGCGAAGATCCGCGAATCAACGACCTCAATGACGAGTGTCCCAAAGCCCCTGAAGTTCATGCGCCCCCACTACGACACAATGAAGTCCATCTACGACAAGCTGACCGACAAAAAATCCCAGGAGCTCTGCGCGGACATCATCTCAGTCCTCGCGATGACGATGGGCGAGGGCAGAGAGTGCCTGAAATACCGTCTAACAGGTTCAGCCTCAGAGCTCGGCGAGTGGGGCCACGAGTACGTGCGCCACTTGTCCGGTGAGCTGGCAGCCGAGTGGGACGAGGTAAACGGTGGTGAGGACGCCGAGACCAACACCGAAAAACTGATCACCCTCGTCCAGGAGATCGTCCCCTACAACATGAAACACAACGCCGAGACTGAAGCCTGTGACCTCCTCATGGAGATCGAGAGACTGGACCTCCTGGAGCAGTACGTCGACGAGAGTGCTTACCAGAGGGTCTGCCTGTACCTCACCAGCTGCGTCCCCTACGTGGCGGACCCTGAGAACAGCACCCTCCTGAGGGCAGCCTGGAAGCTCTACAGAAAATTCAGACAGTACCCCCAAGCCCTGCGCCTGGCAATGCAGCTGAACGACCTGAACCTCGTGGGCTACATCTTCCTGAGCTGCACAGACCTCTCGATGCAGAAGCAGCTGGCCTTCATGCTGGGTCGTCAACAAATCTTCCTGGAGCTGCCAGAGTCCACAGCTGAGTACGACGACCTGGTGGAGATAATGTCCAACTCCCACTTGAACAATCACTTTTTGAACTTAGCTCGAGAGCTGGACATCATGGAGCCCAAGACCCCAGAGGACGTCTACAAATCCCACCTGGAGAATTCTCGTCCACCGTTCGGTGGGGGCCAGGTGGACTCTGCCCGTCAGAACCTGGCAGCATCCTTCGTGAATGGGTTCGTGAATGCTGCCTTTGGACACGATAAACTGTTGATAGAGGATGGAAACAAGTGGCTGTACAAGAACAAGGAGCATGGGATGTTGTCAGCGACTGCATCACTGGGGCTAGTCCTCCTGTGGGACGTCGATGGAGGTCTGACGCCCATCGATAAATACCTGTACTCGTCTGAGGACTACATCAAGTCGGGAGCACTGCTGGCTTGTGGAATAGTCAACTGTGGAGTGAGGAACGAGTGCGATCCTGCCCTGGCTTTGCTCTCAGACTACGTTCTCCACAACAGCAACACAATGAGGATTGGGGCCATTGTGGGGTTGGGGCTGGCTTATGCTGGGTCCAATCGAGAGGCGGTTCTGACGCTTCTTGCCCCAGTCTTGACTGATCCAAAATCCAACTGGGAGGTCATTGGAGTCGCTGGTTTAGCCCTGGGAATGGTGGCTGTTGGATCCTGCAATGAATTCGTCACCACTAGCATCATGCACTGCCTCATGGAGAAGTCTGAGACTGAGTTGAAGGACACTTATGCTCGTTTTCTGCCTCTAGGGCTTGCTCTGTGCTTCCTGGGAAAGCAGGAGGCTGCTGAGGCCATTATTGCTGCCCTCGAGGTGGTCCCTGAGCCCTTCAGGTCCATGTCAACTACTCTGGTGGAGGTCTGCGCCTATGCTGGGACTGGGAACGTCTTGAAGATTCAGCACCTCTTGCATATCTGTTCAGAGCACTACGAACCGAGTTCTGATAAGGACGAGAAGTCCGATCGTAATCAGAAGGACTCCAAGGAGAAGAAGGATGATAAAGATAAAGAGAAGGAGAAGGAGAAAGACAAGGATAAGAAGGACTCCAAGGAGAAGGACGATAAGGACAAGCAGAAGGAGAAGGATCTGAGTTCAAAGCAGGCAATTGCTGTTCTTGGAATTGCTCTCATCTCCATGGGAGAGGAGATTGGGGCGGAGATGGCGTACAGGACTTTCGGGCATTTGCTGAGGTACTGCGAGCCTGTCATCAGACGATCTGTCCCACTAGCCCTTGGACTGATCTCTGTTTCCAATCCTAAACCGAATATTGTGGACACTCTCTCGAAATTCTCTCATGACAGTGATCCTGAGGTGGCTCACAATGCCATCTTTGCGATGGGATTGGTCGGGGCTGGGACTAATAATGCAAGACTGGCTGCTATGCTCAGGCAATTGGCTCAGTTCCATGCAAAGGATCCTAATAATTTGTTTATGGTGAGGATTGCTCAGGGACTGACGCATTTGGGGAAAGGTACTCTCACTCTGTCGCCTTATCACAGCGATCGACAGCTTCTCAGTCCTGTTGCTCTTGCTGGTCTTCTTGCGACGTTGATTGGCTTCCTGGATGTCAAGAATATCATCCTGGGAAGGTCTCACTATCTTTTGTATACTCTTGCTTCTGCCATGCAGCCCAGGATGCTCGTCACCTTCGATGAGGAATTGAATCCTCTTCCTGTACCGGTTAGGGTTGGTATTGCTGTCGATGTCGTGGGGCAGGCTGGAAAGCCCAAGACCATCACTGGGTTCCAGACACACACGACACCTGTTCTACTTGCTTATGGAGAGAGGGCTGAACTCGCTACTGAGGAGTACATACCACTTACACCGATTATGGAGGGATTTGTTATTCTGAGAAAAAATCCGGAATTCGTTCCTTAGGTTTAGATTACAGTGATAACAGCCACTTACTTTATACTTCATTTTTAAATAAAATAAATTAATTTTTTTTCTTGAACTAAATTGCGTTTTGTAAGATGTTGAGGAGATTGGGAGGAGTTATCCTAATTTTTTTGTGGATATTCTTGAGGATATTTATGAGGATTTTTAAGGACAGGGGTTTATAAATCGAATTGCTGGATATCGATGGTGGGTTTGGAAGGGAATGTAGACAGAGAAAATTACATTGATAACAAGTTTTTTCAATTTTCATCGTTTTTAATTCAATTTCAATTCAACTGATTTATTTGCGTTTTAAACAAGTACAACCTTGTGCTGGAATACAAATAAAAATAATTAAATAGTTATAGAATTTTGCAAAACTGGTTGCCATGCTCAGGCAATTAACTCAGTTCCATGCAAAGGATCCTAACAATAAAATAACTTCCCTAGGTCGGGAAGTTGATAAATAAATTTTTTTTCGTGAATTAAATTCCGTTTTGTTAGATCATTCGGAGATTGGGAAGAGTTATCTTAATTTTTTGTGGATATTCTTGAGGATAGGTTGTTTGGCGAACAAAGTTGAAGGCGAGTGGGAGAGTGCATAAAACGACTTTCAAGATATTGAAGGTGTTTTACTGTTGACAGTTAGAATCTTCTTAATTGAGGTGGAATGTGGGTAGGGAAAATTGTATTCACAACAATTTTTCATCAATTCTCATATTCAAATAAATTCAATTCATTTGTTGCCGTTTTCAACTGATACAACTTTATTCCTGCATACAACTAAAATTCTCTAAATAATTATAGTATTTTTAAAGACAAAAAATTGTTCTTCGTTTTGAAAAGTATTTTTTTTTTCAATTCAAGATGTGAATCATGGGATAGTTGGAAAATCGGTAAATCATATTAAATCATTGTCAATTTCACGATAAAAAAGAAACATACGCCCCTTTGGTTGCGACGACGACATCATAAGAAAGATTTCATGTCATATAATCCTGATAAAAATGATCGGCGACAATTTAATCCTGCAAAATGATTCTATTCAAATTAATCCTGGGGAGCGATTTTGCTCGTTTTATGTCGACTTAAAATCATAAATTTCAACCAAGTATTCCGAATCCAGGACTGTCATTGGTTGAAATTTACGATTTTATGTCGACATAAAACGAGCGAAATCGCTCCCCAGAACAAAAAGATCCTGAATGATTTGATCCTGAGATTTTTTTAACGATTATATTGCTATCAAAAGAATCTGATGAGCCGGTAACTGAAAAGAAGAAGCTGAATAGAAAATTTGATGTTAAACTCCTGAATGTTCTTAAAAGTTGTAACAGAAATAATATCCTTAAAGTATCTCGAGGGAATCGCTTATAATATTAATTATTGAATTGTGCCCGTGTGGCTTTCAACAATTTAAGTTGTCTGAACACAATTTTTTTGATGACGTCATTAATTTTTCATGTTTGTTTTTTTATTCATTAAGTATTTGACCATACGATTCGGACAATTATTTTAATATTTCATGAGTGCATGTTTGTTATGATATTTGGGGACTTGGCAACATTTTTCACGGATTGATATCAGCACCATGTCTACATGTTTACGTTTCATAAATAAATGGTTGTAATTTGTTGAGTATTTTACGGCGCATTGTTTTCCCCATTTTTCCGATTTTTTAGCGTAAAATTTTGTGACTAAGTTTCCCAGAAAACAATTTTTGCCAGTGCCATTTACAATTTAACAGGACATCGACATCAATGTATCGACAAATTGTCGACATACTGTTTGCTGGGTTTTTGCTCTAGGATTTTTTTTCAGGATTTTTTGACTAGGACTAATTTGTTCAGGATTAATTTTCGAGGATTAAATGATATGGAATCCATAAAAAATAATAAAAATGCTATCCATTCATTCATTCATTCATGTACAGAATCAATTACCGCACTGATAAATAAAAAAGTCAATAACGTCAGTACAAACTAGTGATTCAAAAGAGAGTAGTTGACACTTAAACAGAAAGAGAAATACTTCAGCAGTAAACAAACTTATTGAAAGAAAAAGAGATAATTGTACTATTAGGGGAGGTTGGGGTAAAATGGACACTTTTGACTTTTTTTTAAATGTTAATGACGGGTTGAAATGTTGATAAAATTTAATTTTTCCTTCATTGCAAAGAACAATTCTTTCCCTTTGTGATGAGCCTAAACTGAGCTCAATTGATCAATTTGTTTCTGAGTTATGAGTAATTAAAACAAAAGTCTAAAGTGTCCATTTTACCCCACTCGCCCCTATGGATTATCCACTTGCTCTTCGCCTCTATTCAAGCGTTGACAGCAGTCCCACGTGATGTTTACGACACGTTCCATTTCCAATGGTGCGCAAACAGCTGACATTAGCGACAGCAAGTCCGTTTCCACTCGATTCACAACTCCAAATAGACTTACCCCCAAAATGTGTGTAAATTTCAACTTCTTTGTTTGTTGTCAATTTTCGTACATCTACGTGAGATGACTGGCGCAACCAGTGGACACGGGCTCATCGAAATTCCCAAATAGTTGTAAAAATAATTCATGTTCCTTCCGCATTTATTGCGTACCACGAGTGCTCCATTAATGTGAAGGCATTGAATTTTGGTTCTTCGGTGAGTTGGTGAGTGCTGTTGCGGTTGGGATTTAGTGTCAGTGCATTAGAAAGTCAAATCCCTGCGTTTACGTGGGCCAATGCAAGGGGAAAAGGGTTGAAGATAAAATCAGTCTTGATAATTATTTTTAGTTTTAAATGGAAGACGCAAAAAGTGAAAAATCGGTGACAATGGAGGAGCAGGTGCCCCAGGACTCGTCTTCGTGGGGCGAGTGGACCATAATTCATGATGACAGGGATAAAAATATTGAAAATGCGGTTCCAGACGTTACGGAAGTGAAACCGAAGGAAATTGATGAGGATAATGACAAAGAGGAAGAGTGTCACGTCGTCGAGGAAGCACGTGAGGTATTTAAAATTGGTTAATATATTTTTGGAAGAGCACGACCTTGGGAAAAGCATTTAAAACAACTCATGGAGTTTATTTTGTTTTTTTATTATTTTTTCAGGTGATTGAGGAGATTGATCCATCCACTTTTGCCTCTTCTGTTGTACCTGTACGTCCACGTGAAGAACATTCTGATGGAATTTCTGTTATCACTGAGAGGGATGAGGCGAGGGAAGAGATTTCGAAAATTGTTGAGCCTGTTGAACAAACAATCCCACGGGTGCAGTATTGCTTTGTGAATTCTCGTGGTGTGAATGAACTGCTGAATTAGGGGAGAGTGGGGTAAAATGGACACTTTAGATTTTTTTCAAATGTTCATGACGTCACGGACGAAAAAAGTTAATAGAAAAACCTATCGAATTCGTTAGAAAATTCTATTGAATTTCTATTGAACTGTTCTATTAGTTTTTGGCCGAAATGTTCAATAGAAAATATTCAGTTGGAAAAGTCAATAGAATTCAATTTTTCTATATAACTTATTCTAGTGAGATATTTTCTATAGAATTTCCTCGGCTGAAATTTTCTAAGTTTTTTCGTTTCATTTTCTTGATGAGAAGAAAATAAAAATAGAATGAAAAAAACTTTGAAAATTTGAGTCGAGCAAATTCTATAGAAAATATATGAAAAGAATAAGTTATACAGAAAAATCGAATTCTGTTGACTTTTTCTATTGAATGTTTTCTATTGAACATGTCAACAGAATCAGCCAAAAACTAATAGAAAGTTTAATAGAAATTGAATAGAATTTTCTAATGAATTCAATAGGTTTTTCTATTAAATTTTTTTGTGCGTGGTATGTTTTAGTTGAAAGTACAATTGTTCTCCTTTGAGAGATTTTTAATTTATAAATCTCGTTCTGAGTTATGGATATTTCTAAAAAAGTCAGAAGTGTCCATTTTACCCCGCCCTCCCCTAAATCGTAAGAAAATGACAAGTAAGAATTCATAATGTAGGGTGTAGGGAGTAAGCTAAAATAGATTATCCTGAATCATCTGTTTATTGACCGAATGACGTGATTGAGATGAATCAGGTCTCATTTGAAAGCGTGAGAAAAATTTCTTCAAAATGGTAAAAAAAAATGTCGAATTGCACTCGACGGATTTTGAGTTATTGATATAATTGAAAACGTTTTTTTACGATTCTCTTGCCTATGGTGAACGTAATTGAAGGGAGAGATGAAGAGAGAGTGAACGTATTTACGATTTTTTTTGTCAAATTGGAAGGAAGGGTTGATAATGATTTGTTAAGATAAGAAACAATGAAACGTCTCCCATTTTTTCTTAGATCCTGGGATTCTAGCGAAATTTGCAGAAAGATTCGAACAAAGATAGTGGAGTGGTGAAATTTAATTGTCCATTTATCTCAGAAACAAATGGATTTTTAAAAAATTATTAAAAAACCTATTTTGTCGAGACCTACATTCCTGACGAAAATTGGCTTGTGACATTTTCTGCAAAATCCAGTAGCTCCAGAGATAATCCAAGAATTCAGTAGGGAAGTGGTAAAACGATTTAAGTCGACTTAGCTCCCAATTGAGTTTTTGAGGAATATTTCCGAATCTAACGGAGATAACGAAATTTTCGTAATTACATTTGTTGTAACTCTCAATCGGCTCTACAAAAAAGGTTATAACAACAATTTCGCTATCTTCCTCAGATTCCGAGATATTCGTTGAAAACTGGTCAATAGTCAAAATTGACTTGTCTCGTTTTATCACTTCGCTACTGAATTGTTCGAACGAAATTTTATAGTAGAGTGGAGGACCATGAGCTGCCAATTTGGACATTTCTGTTGATTGTTCTTCTATTCGCGATGCGAGTAGTTTGGTGAAAAAAATTCAAAAGACCTTATTCATTAGAAATTTAATCCTCTACAAGAAAAGTCTGCTGACATGACATGAAGAATTAAATTTCCAACAAAGACTATCTTCTAATATTTCATAGCAAATCGGTGAACCATGAGCTACCAATTAGGAAATTCCTATTAATCGTTCCTTCATTTTCGGAGTGAGCAGTTTAGCGAAAAAATATCCAAAAACTTTTTTCATAGGGAATTCAATTCTATATAAAAAAAGGTCCTTCGGCATGACCTCGTAAACCCAAACACTCCGGAGATATTTTTTTATTTTGTAAAACATTTTTGTTGATTATCCTTCATCTTGGAGATGAGTGATTTTAAAGGAAAATCTCAAGACACCAATTTACAAAAAAAAAGAAAAAAAAATTATTTTGCGTCTTATAATGCGAAAACAAAACTTTCAAATCTCAAAACAAATTGTGTGAAAACTCCAATTTCGTTCTTCGTAAAGGCTTATTCTAACACCTCTGAGATCTCAAAAGAACAGTTGACATATTTTCTCCCAGAATCCCTCGCTATCAAAATCTTCCAATATCCCATAAAACGTGAAAAATTGGCGTTCTGTTCAGTTCTGTTAAGCCTCACACTCTATCCCTAATTCGATGGACTCCCCCTTCCCCCGTAGCTGCGAAATTATTTTTAGAATATTAGATATAATAGGTTTTAGCAGAATAAAATCTACCGTTCTGACTCGACTCGGATTTCTCAATCTGAGGTAATTTTCTAACAACGTAAAAAATTAAATATAAACCCTCGAAACTCTTGAATCCTGACAGAATCCATTTCAACAGCTTAGTAATAGAGTCACGTATCTACCAAAATTTCAAAAATCCTGAAAATTTGTGTGAAAAAACGTATCTCCATTTAAATTAAGATGTGTATATACCAGAGTATTTTTAACACTTTTAGCATATAAAAATCAATTCGGAACAAAGAAACGAATCCGATTTCTTCGCATTTCTAAGAAACTGTCGATTTCTTTGTTCAGTTCGGACTGCACGCGAACTTCATCGCAGCGTGTTGCCTGGCGGCTGCTATTGGTTTTGGCATTGGCTGCGTCGTTGGCACCGGAAAGACTCAACTTCCATCACCCAACATTCAAGTGTCACCAAAACCGTCTTTCCGACGAGTCGAGGATTCAAATACTGACGTCTCAGGGGAGACGTCCATCACCGTTGAGTCCGAGCCATTTGATCCACCGCTACATGCCCCAAATATCCCCGAAGAGTCCATGAGACATGACCACTTGACTAAAATGAACGACCAGAATCTCCGCATTCGAAAACTGGAGCAGATACCCACGTTCAAGAACTCCCTCCAGAAGCTGAAACTATCCCTGGAAACGTTGTGCTCGTTGATAGACAAAAATCAGAGAATCAACTACGAAAACATCTGCAGCAGAAATTCAAAAATCTTCGAAGTAATTGAGTTGAAAGAGACAGTGGAGTACATTGTCAACGAATTCGGCTACACGGAAGATGCCTCGATAAAGAAGTTCATCGAGGGCATAGACTCGAAGATCGAGACGATGATGACATCATTCCTGGATCGTTTGTCGAAGATCGTGGAGAAGATGCGAGGGAAGCTCTACCAGAGGATTTGCCTGATCAGAAATACGTACGACAAGGGGGCAAAGATCCAAGAAATTCTGGGCCAGAGATCAATATCCCTCGAGAACTGCAACTACTCGCCCCCCAAAGTCCCAAATTCAGAGAAAAAGAGGAGAGTGAGTAAAAGAGAGGAGCGAGGAATTGATTCGATTTCTGAAGAAACGAGCGAAGTGGAGTCTTCGGAGATGGGAGAGAGCAGCGAACTCCCTGAGAGCCACAAAAATAAGCGGAAGAACCAGAAGTCTGAGGAATTTCGAAAGAAGAAACAGTATGTTTCCAACAAAGAAGGTTCAGGCGATAATTCAAACGAGAAAAGTGATTTCAGGAAGTTGAAATCGAATCATCGGGAGTCGAATGAGGATTCAGACGAGCAAAAGGAGTTTAAGAAGTTTAAATTGAATTATCAGGAGTCGAATGAGAATTCTAACGAGCGAAAGGATTTTAAGAAATTTAAATCGAATCATCGGGAGTCGAATGAGGATTCAGACGAGCAAAAAGAGTTTAAGAAATTTAAATCGAATTATCAAGGTTCGAATGAGGATTCAAACGAACAAAAGGATTTTGATTCATCAGAACGAATGAAGAATCAAGGAAAGAATCATTCAAAGTCGAAGAAGAAGTATAACAAACAATCGAAGGAATCTAGTGAAAATTTCTCTGAGGACAGTGATTTGACTTCTTCGGACGACCAAAAGGAGAATAAAAATGGAAATAGGAATGATTTCAAGCCCTTGAAAAAGTACGGAACCCCCAAGGGAGAGCCGAAAGAGAACTTTGTGGAGAAGAAGCACAGAAATAACTACCAATCTTTCAATGAAAATGATAACAGAGGGCAGAATGAGAATGTTTGTTACTCGAAGAAATGTTCGAAACCTCACGACACTGACGAGAAAAATGATCGAAAGGGGAATGGAAAGAATGGACAGTGGCAATTCGAAAGGTATCTAAATAAACCAAAACTATGGATCAGTTCTTAATGGGAAGAGTTTATTTTTTTCGTTTTTTTACTGATAGGGCCCAAGGCAGAAGGAAATATCGTTTTGACGAGGAAGACAAGTACGGTGTGTGGTATGACGACCGAGCGAAGGGTCGAGAACGCGCAAGACTTGGTTTCTAACGAGTATCACATCCCAAAAAAATATTTGTTTCGAATTTTCAAAGGTGTTGAAATAAGATTTTTTGAAAAACTTCATTTGAATTTTTCGAATAACTTAATTCAAGATTTCGAAAAATTCAAACAAAATTTTGCATGTTTAAATAGAGGATTTTCAAAAAATCTTAATCTGGATCCTGAAAGTTTTAAATTGGAAATTTAAGAGCTCTTAAGTTGAGATTTTCGAAAGTTTCAATTTGAAGTTGAAACGTTTTTAAAAGTCTCAACTTGTAAATTAAAAAAATTAATTTCTCCACCTGAGAGTCTCAACTTTAGATTTTTAAATTCTAACTTAAGATGAGAAATCTCAAAATGAATGTTTTTTGGGTGTATGTCTTTTTTATAACTACGTGTATTCCTGGAGTTTTCTGAAATGTGGGTGGAAAGTATTTTTTTCTCTGATACTTTTGATTGTGGAGATCAGATCTATGTACTTTAGGGAGTGGTAAGGTGTTTAAGGGCTTGATTTTTACCAAATTGAATGGCTGTACTGTCGACAATAGCGACGAGTGATATTGATTAATTGAAATAAAGATATGGTATGTGTTAGTTATGAGGTTGTTATTTGTGATTTATTTGAAGGTGAAGTTGTAGAATGAGATTGAATGAATTTGTAAAAACAATTTGCAGTGAAATCATCTTGAATTCAGGAAAAAATGGTAGTTTTGGGAAATTTTGGGAGAGAAACAAGTCGAGGATAAGGGCCCAGTCTCGAAAGCACTCGATAAAAAGACGATGTGTGACTTTTTAGAACAAAATATTTTTAGATGATTTGCTCTACACCAGGATGCATTGAATCGATCGACACAAAATTTTATACACAAGTGTGACTTAATGATACTAATTAGTAGCCAGAATCTCAGATGTTTATTCCGAGTTTTACGCGTATTATGGAACGCCACATTAACTCTCAATTGAAAAAATTAGAAAAACACCAATATCTCGAAAACTTTGTATGAACGGATATTCACATTTTGATTGATCTTGATAGGGCGCGCCAAGACGAGTATTTTGAAAGACAAATAAAATTAATCAGACCAGTAGTTGGGGAGATATTGAACAAAACATTTTTTCACAAAAAGATGAATATCTTCTAAACCACTTGTCCGATTTCGCCTACCCACAATCCCATCCTGTAATGTTATAAAAGCTACAATCTCACCAAATTTCAACATCCTATCTAAATTTTTTCGGGAGTTATCGTGCGCCGAACGATTCACTCATAAAAACGAAAAATGCCGATTATTATCAAAGTGACCCTAGTTGAATAGCAATATTGTGATTTGATTTGATAAATATTATCACAGGGAATATTTTGACGTCGAAAAAATTCAATTTAGTCACGTAGTTTTCCAGATATTGTGGAAAAAAGATTTTTGAGAAATTGCTGTATCTCGAAAACTACTCCATCGATTGAGCTGAATTTGCGTCTAGACGTGCTCCAAAGTAATATCAATTATGTGACGAAACTTCAGATTTTTAGCTTCAACTTTAGTCCTTTTTCTGTGAAGATTTATAAAAAATTTCCTAAGAATTCGCACACACATCCAAACGTACATACATACATTTTCGAAAAACATCACATCTTAACGTTTCATGGCACTCTACGTCATTTCCATGCAAAATTAGAAGATCGTCAAAATCAACGATTACAACACGTATGAAAAAATTCAATAGAAAGCCTAGCGAATTCGCTAGAAAATTCTATTTGAATTATTATTATCACTATTTCATTTATTGAGAAAGATCAGCTATGCTGGTATACATCTCATTCCAGTATGAGTAACTGCAAGTGTTGGTAGAGAATAGTGCACAGTAGTTGATAGAAAAATAATAGTTAGCAGATAACAAGAAGAAAAGCATACAGAATATAGCATCATTTAGCTTAAACTCATAACAAAGTACAAAGTAAGAGAAAATAGCCTCATTTAGCCTAAACACTTGGCCTGAAACAATCCGCTGATGGGAACGGTCCTAGAACTCGGTACAGACCAACTATGATAAATCAAAATCAAAATCAAAAGTCCAAAAATAGTGCAGACGAAAACTATGCTATCAGCAGCAGGATTCTTTAGCCCGGGTTAGAGAATTCTTTTTTTTACCGTTCTTTTACATCGTTTCGACCCGGTTAGGGTATACCGCGATGATGATCAAACGACTTTAACTGGTTAGATCGCACCATTCTACCCGGCCGGGATTTGAACTCGGAACCTTTCGCATGTGAGACAACGAACTTACCCACTGCGCCAAGCCACCGGGCTATTTGAGAATTCTATAGAAATTCTATGGGGTTCCTATAGAATTTTTATTGGAATTCTATTCGTTTCTTGCGCTGATTCTATTGGATATTCGATAAGAAAAAGTCAAAACATTTCGAATTTCCGTTTGAATTTTTCTCTTGACATTTTTTCATAAGAATGCTTGAACATCAATTTTCTAAGTTTTTTCCACTCGGATTCTGTAATGCAAAACAAAGCAAAATCCGGCCGAAAAAAATTAGAAAAATTCCAATAATTCTAATAGAAAAAATCTCAAGAGAAAAATTCTAGCAGAACTTCAAAATATATTGACTTTTTCCTATCAAATGTGCAATAGAATCAGCGCAAAAAATTAGTAGAACTTTTCAATAGAATTCCAATAGAAATCCTATAGAAATGGAATTCCCCATAGAATTCCTATAGAATTCCGATAAAATTTTTGAATGAATTCGCTCCGTTATCTATTCTATTTTTTCATGCGTGAAAGCTTCCATTCGGAAGCGAAAATCAATTCATTACTGAAATAATTAGACAGAATGTCGAAAATAAACTTGTTCTCCTAGATTTCAGCACTTCACTATTAAATCCTTCTCTTCATTCTATAAATTTTCATACTAGAAAGGCAATTTCAAAGGATAAATTGGCTTATAATTCTGCATCCGCATTACATATTCCAGTATTATTCGATGTTTGGATTATTGGGAGATACTTTCATTTGTTTAAATGTCAAAATCACGTTTTAAATGGGAGAAATTTCTGAAAAAATCGTCGAAACAATCGTCTCAAATATCGAGAATGTGCTTGAGAGTCTACTTACGGCTATAAAAGAGTTACCAAAACAGAAGAAATCGGATAGGACGTGGATTTTCTTGAGACACTTGATGTATTTAGTTGAACACGTGCAGTTCAGGTTGAGGACTACCCCAGTTGAAGAGAAGACAAGGAGAGATTTCTATTGGAAACTTTGGCACGAGAATAGGGAAACACGAGAAAAATTGACGGGTAATCACAGGTTTTTATGTGGGGGGGGGGAGATTAAATGGACACTTTTGATTATTTAAAAAATATTTATAACTCAGAAACAGATTTATCAGTTTAGACTCATCAGTTTAGACTCAAAGAGAAAGAATTGTTTCTTGACAAAAAAATATTCCATTCCATCAATAATTCAACCCGTCATTAACATTAAAAAAATCACAAGTGTCCATTTTACCCCAACTCTTCTCTAATTGACATCACTCAGAGAAAAAAATAATGAAACCATTGAAAGAAATGGAAAAGTAACGGTTAGAGAATTCCACAAAAATCTCAGAAATGATTAAATTAATTTGAATTTGTCGAAAAACAGTTCTTTAGAAGTAAATTCAAAATAATTGATATTGTAGTGATTATTTTGCGAATAATGTTTAATATTTATTTTGTGAATAATTATTGACATAATTATTTACACTAACATAATTATTTTAACTAAACGAATTATTAAATGAGGAAAAAAATGCTGCAAAAATCTTGAAACTACTCAAACTGATGAAAGTATACCATCTAATATAATAAATTATTAACCAAAACCAAAAGTAAACGAAATGTACCAATTTTTTTACCAAAGTCGCTAAGAACCTCGTCGTTTACGCGACTTTAAATAAATAAATAAATAAAACAACATATTTCCAAAATAATTATTTTAATAGTTATTCGTTTGTTGTAAATAATTATTTAATAATTATTTTGTGAACAATAATTTATTATCATTTGGCGAATATTATTCGCAAAATAATCACTGCAGTATTAATTTTTTCTCATTCAGTACTGACAGCTGCCATTGAGGAGCAAAGACATCTCAATCAAGAAATTATCGAAAGAATTCATAGCAATTATTTACGAAACTGTCAATTAGTATCGCGAATAGGGGACAAATTCTTGGAAGATGCTGTGACTATTAGGTACATTCAAACATTATTCTCCTAACTTCAAAAATCCCTTTATTGTATAAAAATCACTTCTCTATTATTACTACGTACAGACTAAAGTTCGAGCGTATGCAACTTAACGAATATAAACAATCTGAGGATCGCAAAAATGATTTGAGGGAGATTTGTGGAATTTCCAGGAATAAATTCCAGATTTTTCAGTTTAGCCTTCGAAAGTTGGAGCAAGAGATCTTTCAGAAAAGGTAGGGAGCAATTTCGGAATTATTTATTACATTCCTTATTGAATTATCTCAATAGTGAGCAATTGCAGGGAGAAAATATCAAGAGATCTTCTCTAGGGGAGATCTCTAGACAATTTTGCCTAGATTCGTTCTGTCTCAAGACAAATTTAATTCGAATTTTGTGTTTTTTAACGTCGACATAGCATTTTCATAAAAAAATTATCTATTACACCCAATGAAGTCCCTTCATTTTTTTATCTATTCAATGTTTTGCACCAAGACTTTGTCCACAGAAATTGTAATTTTTGCATTCTAGTTACTCGATATACATGCACTGAGAAAAAATGTTCACTATCTGAAACATACTTGAGACAAGTAATTTTTCTTCGATCGCTTAATTCTTCCAGGGATCTCAATTCACGTGGCCCGAGAAAGGTCGCGTCCTTTCAAATATTTTTGTACTCAAGTATGATTTTGTCGCACATGAACTCATTCAAAGCGGATAGACGAATTGTCAATCTTCAAGTATTTATTGTTGTTAACTTTACTGTGTATTTTTTGATAGAAAATATTCAATAGAAACTACTTAAGGCCCGGGTGGATTATCTATCGAACGTAATCTTGATTGTTTCTTTCATTTTGATAATCTGAAATGATCTCCAATTGCTATTCAGTTTTATATAGCCCTGGAGTCTCCATAAATTGTGATTGTACAATCAAAAAAACGTTGGAAAAAAGCTGAACATTCTCAAAGAGCGTTTTTGAATAATATTGGGAAATAAACCCAATGGGGAGGAAATTGCAAATTAATAATTTGATGTGTCTAATGGCTGTTAGGTCGTTTTTTGTCACAGTAGTCGATGGCTGTCAGATCGTTAGTTAATGATAAATTATCCATTCACTATTTCCTCTCTATCGGTATTATTTCTTAATCTTCATTAAAAACGCTCTCTAAAAATGTTCAGTTTTTTTTCTACATTTTTTGATTGTACAATCATAATTTTTAGGGACTCCTGCGTGATGTACAATCTAATGGAAAGGGTGATATATTTTGCATTATGAAGATGGAAAAACAATAGAAGAGCCTCAATAGAAAAATCAGTAGAATTCCATCTTTCTACAACTTTCTCTGTTGAAAAATTTTCTATAGGAATCTTTCGATATGAATTTTCTAAATATTTTTCACTCAATTTTTCTTTTCTTTTCATTTGAAAAATCAAGAAAATCGAGAAAAAGTTGAACTGAGGATTTTCTACAGAAAATATCTTTAAAAAATAAGTTGTAGTACAGAAAAATCAAATTCTATTTATTTTATATACCGAATATTTTCCATTGAACATTTTTATTGGAAAAAATTACGCGAAGATCCGCTACAGAATTTTCCAATAAAATTGGCCAGAAACCGATGGAAAGTTCTAGAAAAATACAATAGAATATCCTAGCGAATTCGCTGGGTTTTTCTATGAAATTTCGTGATCTGCCAAAAATTGTGGGCACCATTGTGCGAAATAGATCATTTTGTTCGGAAAATCGAAAATACTGTGTCAGTATTAAAATATGCCTAGATATTAAATAATACAAAAAAATATCAATAACTTTCTTCGTTAATTAATAATTAACAATTATTAATTAATTATTAGGTCGAAAATGTCCGCAAAATTTCTGTCACTATTGAATCGATACGACACAGAAATTGGGGAGAGAAAAAAAACCGTTTCTGATCTCGAGTCCGTCCTGAATGATCTCACGAAGAAGATTCATCAATTAGAAGTAATAAAATTTCTAAAAAATCATAGATCATTTCAATTATCCCATTCTGACCAATTTTACAAATTTACTCAACAGGAGAATATGGAGGAACAATCCTGTCTATACGACTCTTGTTTCAACGAACAAGAGGAATCGAAATTGGCAGAAATAAGATCAAAGCTCGAAGTGATCTCAAGAACTATTGCAGCAAAGAAGATACAACGCTGGTGGCGGAGTATCCTCCCTTCTCTTCGAACTAGAAAGAAGAAGAAATCTAAGAAATCTAAAAAGAAGGGAAAACGAAAGAAATAATTCAGTAGTAAAAAAATCAAAACAGCAGTTAATTCCGAATAAAAGATAGTTTTAGTTGAATTATTATTTCAATAGCCATTATTGACATTATGAAACCTCTTTTCTCTCCAAGCCATTTCCAAAAATGCACTGAGAATGAAGATGACCCTGATGAGGAGTGGATTTACTACTCAAAATATTAAGTAGAAATCCATGTATTCTGGATTAAAGGCCCGGGTGTACTATCTTTCGAACGTTATCTCGATGTCTTTTTTTCATCTTTAGTCTTCTGAACTTGTCAATTAAGTCCTGTATCATGTAGAAGTTTCGAAAAATTATGAATGAATAATCAAAAAACAGTAGAAAAAATTCTCAATTTTTTCAAAGAGCAGTTTTAATTTATATTCGGAATAAGTTGGATAACAAGAAATTGAAAAATGTATCTGATTTACGGTGACAAATGGCGGCCTGTCACCCAATATCATGCAGGGGGAAGACTGATTTCGTAAATCTTTTCCCACACTGCACAGAGACATTTATTACGGAAAAGGCTCTTTGAAAAAAGTTGTAATATTTTGGAGAATTTTTTAATCACACTTTTATCACATAAAAATGGCAGATGACTACATACCACTGTTTTGAAAATTGAGATACCTAGCTGTCACTTCCTATGAGGACTTTAGTGTTTTGTTATCCACCATGGAAAATGCCAGCTAATAGATAATTTACCACAGCGAATCAGATATTTGTAATTTCCACTTTTTTCAACTCATTCTGAATCTCAATTAAAAACGCTCTTTGAAAAAGTTCAGAATTTTTTCCATTTTTTTTATCATTCTATCATAATTTTTGGGAATTTCTACATGATGTACCACTCAATTGACAATTTTGGATTACGAAAGATGAAAAAAATCCAGATAACATTCGAAAGATAGTACACCCGGGCCTTAAATTGAAAATTGTAATTATTAATCACAAAAATGACCTGAAGAGGACGGAGATTTGATAGTGTGTAAGATAGTGTTTATTGTGAAACATTTCTGAATCGAAACTCTGAATATTTCACGTATGAAAAAATTTAATTGAATAATCTAGTGTATTCTCGACGAATTCTATTATAATTTTATTGAAAAATTCTATTTGCTTTTGCTCCAATTCTATAAAAAATTATGCAACTTCCCCGTGCGTTTTTAAATGGATATATGTTTATACAAAAAAGTCTATAGATGTTGATTTCTCTGTAACTTATTCTGTTGGGATTTTTTCTGTAAGAATTCTTGGACATGATTTTTTAGAAAAAAAATTTTCTTGGATTTTGTTATGAGAAAAAAATAAAAATACAATAGAAAAAACTTGGAAAATTTGCGTCTAAGTGTTTCTACAGAAAAATCAACAACTACTGACTTTTTTTTAATCAAATTTCTTTTAACAAAATGACGCAGTTAAGTTGTATAGTATTCTTTAGAATTGGCATAGGAACAAATACAATTTTCAACAGAATTCTGACAAAACTTCAAGAAAATTCTTATACACTTCCAATAGAAATTCACTAGAATTCTTCAGAGAAAACACTAGGTTTTTTCGTTAAGGGCCGGGTGGAACGGGCCGGTCTTTCGAACGTTATCTCGATTGTTTTTCCATCTTCATAACGTAAAATATATCACAATTTCCATTGGATTTTACATCGCGCAGGAGTCCCTAAAATTTGTGATTGTACGATAAAAAAAAATAGAAAAAAGACCTAACATTTTCAAAGAGCGTTTTTAATAAATATTAAGAAATCGGTCCGATAGAGAGGAAATAGTGAATGGATAATTTATCATGGTAACTAACGATCTGACAGCCATTGACTACTATTATAAATGACGACCTAACAGCCATTAGATACATGATATTGTTAATTTGCAATTTCCTCTCTATTGGCTTTATTTCCCAATAGTATTCAAAAACGCTCTTTGAAAATGTTCAGCTTTTTTTCAACGCTCTTTTAATTGTACAATCATAATTTTTGGAGACTCCAGGGCTATGTAAAACAGAATAGCAATTGGAGATCATTTCAGATTATCAAAATTTAAAAAAAACCAAGACCACGTTCGAAAGATAATCCATCCAGGCCTTAAATTTTTTTATGAGTGCTCAATCTTTCCCTGAAAAACGTTCTCATAAAAATTTCACAATCTCTCTTCGATTCCAAGATATTTTCCAAAAAGAAATTCACTCATCATGTTCATCATTTCACTATTGAATCAACAGAAAAGATCGTCAGCATTAAATCAATAAAAAATCACTTTCACTCGTCCTCTTTGATACACTTCTCCACCAAATCACTCAAGTTTGGGTTCTCCATTGCAGCTGCGATCCTCTCTTTATCATTTATCTGTTTATTGACTGCAAAAGAGCACAGCATGATCATAGAAATAAGCAATGGAGAAAAAAGCTGACGGAATTGAAAACATACTTTCATCCTCGGTGGAGTGTGCTCCTTTCTTGATGAAAATATCCAGTTTAAATGATGCCAACAGATTCCGCTCCAATTTAACTCTAATGCACAGTCCAATGAGTGTGGCCAGGGAGCAGTGGGGAACAGTTGGATTGAATTCAACACGAATTATGTAGGCATCACAGGGTTTTCCTTGGGTTACACTTACGCAGTCTTCGTAGACTACATCCAAGTCTTCTAAGGTTTGGGGCTTCTCTGGGTCTTTTATTGTCCTGAGAAGATCTGTGAAAACATTTATTCAATATTTAATTGTAAAAACCGACGCTCCAAGATCTAAATTACAAGGAATTATCCACAGAATTACAGATACGAAATCATTCACCTGATAAATTATCAATTTGTGGGATTTTTTCAATTGTCTTTTGAGAAAATCTCGAGAGAACTTTTCTTTTGAACAATTTTTCTTTGGTACATAAAAACTGAACATGTTTCCCTGTAGTTAATTGTTTCTTGTTCCACACAGTGTGACATAAAATATTATAGATCACTCGGTCGTAAAATTCGTTTTCAACGAATGTGAGTACAGACCTCGCCTTCAGTTCGGCCTATAAACTTCACATTCGTCGAAAACGAAATTTGTGCCCTTGTACTCTAATGTACTATAATTATCTCCATCTGCAGGAATTGCAGGAGATATTCTCAAGAGAACCGCATGATAAACAATGAACCTAAGGTATATTGTTTCATTTTCATGATGAAACAAAATATAATGAAAAAAATTTAGAAAGTTTGAGCCGAGGAAAAATCGAGTTCTATTGACGTTTTCTGTAGACTATTTCTATTAAACATTTCAGTCGAATCGATCAAAAACTAATACAAAGTTCAATAGAAATCCAACAGAATCGTCTATATTACTCTCCAATTTTTTTATTATTAAGTTCATCAATTTAAATATTCAAATTCCGAACTATTTTATCAATCAATAATTGAGTTCGGAAGATGGATGATTATTTGGCTAATCGAAAAATACTTTTATGACATTTAGAAATATTTACTCAATAGTTAATTGACAATTTCAATGAAGATAACTAAATCTGAATTATTGTAAGGTGCCACTTCGCATAATATTATTAAACTAATGATTGAAGCATGTTTTAAAATTCAAAACAACACCAAAATCTTGCTGTAAACAGTCTCCTTGGGTTCCGTAGCTTGCACAATAAAGCAGTTTTGATTCTTCATAGAATTGATTATGCCCCAAATCAATAATTGAATTAAAATCACAAATAAAATATAAAATAAAAATCTTGTTCATTGTTGTTATATCATTCATGGAATTAGAAATACGAAATCGTTCGACCTATTAATGTTTTAATCATCTCAATCTTCAGGAATTGCAGGAAATATTCTCAAGAGAACCTTACTATAAATAATGAACTCAAGTTTTATTGTTTCATTTTCTTGATGAAAAAAAAGCACAATAGAATGAAAAAACAATAAGTTATTTTAAAACAGACACCGGCATTATCATAAATTTAAAATTTTGAATAATTCAATTGTTAATAGTACTCACCAATTTGTTAATTATTAAATTAATCATCACTTTAAATATTCAAATTCCGAATGATTTTATCAGTCAATAATTGAGTTCAACAGATTAACGATTATTTGGCGAATCGAAAAATACTTTTCAGTATTTAGAAATATTTGCTCAATAGTCAATTGACAATCCCATATTGTCAATTATTTACTTAATAGTGAATTGAAAAAAAATTAAATTACCAATTATTATATTATTCTTCAAATTGCAATGAAGATAAGGAAATCTTGATTATTGTAAGGTGCCACTTCCCACAATATTACTAAATTAATGATTGACGCATGTTTTGAAATTAAAAAAAACACCAAAATCTTGCCATAAACAGTCTCCTTGAGCTCCGCAGCATCCACAATAAAGCAGTTTTGATTCTTCTCATCAGTCAAATCCCTGGCAGTCCCCATCATATGATCAGGCATCAAACCATCTTTGACTTTGCTCCCGATCGATAGCTTGCGTAACAGTGAAAACATTGCTTATCCAAGATATAATTGATATCGCAGTGCCGAACATTCGTGGGTCAAAAAATCCCTTCCAACCACTATGACAATGAGTTTTCATTCATGATCTACAACCTAACCAAGTGTCAAGTTTCTCACACCCTCGAGGCTCCAAAAGTCCATAAAAACTGCGAACATCATTGTCATGTCAAATCAGTCATTAAACTCGATTCGCTCCAATTATCGATCGAAATCTCGATTTTTAAATTCATCAATCACCTGGTGTTTATGTTTGTGCACCATCTGATGCTCCGAATCATCACAACACCGGCTTTACTGTGTGTGTGGCGCTCTCATGCCCATCAGTGGTCGCAGGCACGTCAACATCCATGTGTGGGAGAACGTGGACAGCAGTAAAAAATGGTCTCCCAACACTTTATCATTTTATCAGGGACACGTTGCACCAGAGGCACTGGAGAGCTCATAACGAGGTATCATTAACCATCACATGTTCATGTAATCTTGTAAGTCGTGCAGATAATTATCGAGTGCTCGAAATTACTCGGCTCACTTACGCAATTTTTTTGGAGCTGATGACATTCTAGTTGTGTGGTAGTTCAATTCGAATCGTTGAGAAACTTGTGCTTGTTGTGGTTGTTCCAGTATTCAGCAGTCTGTCACATAATTCGCGGAGTATGTACCTCAGGAATAATGTTCTCATTATGGCAATACGAAGATGTTACTCCGTTGAGACGATTCTCCAACCGAAAACTTCCAGAGTAAGTTTTTGTTTTTGTTATTGTTCAAATTTTAGTTTTGGATTTTTCGTGTTGTATCGACTCGTGATGATCCAAAAAGTTCGGAAATGCAATTTTTAGGCCGTATGTAGTTGTTCTCTAATGAATCGATGGAATTGAATCTTTTTTTCCCTCAAATGTAGTTGTTGTTGAGCCCTATCTATCGATATTAACTAAAATTAAATTCATTTATTAATTTTTAAAAATTTTTCAAGGATTATTTTTTTTACAATAATTTTAAAAAATTTTGAAATCATTGAATGATTGATTAAAAAATTTGTTTGGGTATCCATTTGATCGAGTTCGAGGATGAAGGCTATGACAATAATCGTTATTTTGATTTATTTGAAAATTTGCGAAAATTATGTATTTTTTGAAGAGGGGAATTCCGGGGATATATTTGAATATCCAACCTCAAATGAATTCAATCATAGCTTAAGATATTTGTTTTAATGCCATTATTTGTTGATTTGATTTTTGCTTCCGAATGGAAACATTGTAATCGTTCTAATTTGAGTTTTAGACTTGTTGTGTTATATCGACCCATTAGATCCAAAAAGTCCTGAAATGCAATTTTTAAGCCGTGTTCGTAAGCATGTGTGTATGTGCGTGCGTATGTAAACAAATTTTCCTTCTATTTCTCGCTAATAGTGCATGGAATTGAATCTTCTTTCTTCAAATGTAGGTATTGTTGAGCCCTATCGATCGCCATTAATTAAAATTTAACTCATTGATTAGTTCTTTTAATTTTTGATTTTTTTCAAAAATAGGTTGCCCCACGATAACTAAAAAGAAAATATTCTGAATTGATTGAATGATGGCTTAAAATTTTTTTTTTGAATATCTTTTTGACCGAGTTCGAATTTGAAGGCGATAGCAATAATCGTTATTTTGATTTATTTGAAAATTACAAAAATTCTGTATTTTTAAAAATCAGAATTCCGAGGATAGCTTTGAATATAATGCCTCAAATGAATTCATAGCTTAAAATATTCGTTTTAATGCCATTAAGTCGAAATTAAAAGATGATTACGATAGCTATATTGGTTGATTTGATTTTAATGATTGTTGAAAATTTCGAATTTTTCATGAATTTTCTCCAAAGTGAGCTTTCTGATGATTTCTTCAAATGTGATGTTTCAAATTTATTCAAGTATATGTTAAAAAAATGTTCTATTAATATTTTATTGAAGGGCTGAGGGGAGAGATAGAACCGTGAAAAAGACAATCGGTTGTATAGAAGAAAAGTTGTAATAAGAATAATAATAATGATAACATTCAACTAAATTGAAAATCTGACAAAATTACTTAAAAAGAAATCATATTCAACTTAATAAAATGAAATAAACAAGGAATTATACATGATAGAAGGAAATGATGTGCAAAATAACCATTAGGAAGCATATTGCTAATTTATTAGAAAAAATAACTATACTATATGCAATACAATAGCAATGTTCCATTTGTTTTTCATTCAATTCGTGCTGATGTTTATGTTGTTGAGAGAGAGTGATGTTGATTGTTGTTTTTGAAATGTTTCTGTTGTGGTTTTTAGGTTCAGCAACTTCGAGAACGACTGAGGAATGACAACAGTGGGATCCTGACGGATTCCTTCGGGAGGAAACACACGTACCTGAGAATTTCTGTGACGGAGCGATGCAATCTTCGATGTACGGAGCAGTTTTATATGTTGACATTGAGTTGTGAAGTGGTGCAGCGTAATAGGAGTGAATTATTTCCATATTGATTGAGTTATCTTGGTGATGACACGCAGAAACGAAATTTCGTACAAAAACGTAGTGAATTCGCTAGATAAGTCTATTTCATGTCTGTTGAACTTTTGTACTACTCGGACGAAGAAATTTAATAGACAAACCCGTCGAATTCGTTAGAAAATTCTATTTAATTTCTATTGAACTGTTCTATTAGTTTTTCGCCGATTCTATTGAAATGTTCAATAGAAAATATTCAATAGAAAAAGCCAATAGAATTTAATTTTTCTATACAACTTATTCTATTGAGATATTTTCTATAGAATTTCCTCGGCTCAAATTTTCTTAATTTTTCCGTTTGATTCTTTTGATGAGAAGAAAAGAAAAATAGAATGAAAAAAACAGAAAATTTGAGTCGAGCAAATTCTATAGAAAATATATGAAAAGAATAAGTTATATAGAAAAATCGAATTCTATTGACTTTTTCTATTGAATGTTTTCTATTGAACATGTCGATAAAATCAGCCAAACACTAATAGAAAGTTTAATAGAAATTTAATAAAATTTTCTAACGAATTCGATAGGTTTTTCTATTAAATTTTTTCGTGCGTGTAGTTTTTGGCCCATTTTATTGAAATGTTCAATAGAAAATATTCTGTAAAAAAATCAATAGACTGCAATTTTTCGATACAACTTCTTTTATTAAGATATTTTCTGTAAAATTTAGAAAAAAAAAATTAATATAGACGCGTGAATTCATTTATTCTGTACATTAGAAATTTTCAAGTAAAAAATTACCAAAGGAGTAGATTATATAGAAAAATCGCAATCAATTGACTTTTTTCGAACAAATATCTTTTATGAATATTTCTCTTCAGAATTTTTTTCATAAAAATTCCAAAAAAACTAATAAGATTCCAAAGAAATTTCAGAATTACCAACAGAATTTTCTTGGTTTTCTACTGAATTCGACAAAATCGTTCACATTGACTTTTCTCATTATTCTGCCACTGCACTATTCCATTGTGATGTTTTCATGGCGTAATTCCGTGTATTTGATTTTAGGTTTGTACTGCATGCCTGCGGAGGGTGTCAAATTGACAAAGAATGAGAATATATTGAAGACTGATGAGATACTGCGACTGGCGAGGCTCTTCGTTAAGAGGGGAGTTCGGAAAATTCGGTTAACAGGAGGTGAACCGACGGTTAGAAAGGATATAGTGGATATTATAGGTGAGTTGGAAGAGTCTTTAATTAATTTTTGCAGTTATTTTAAACAAACTCTCGGGTTGAAGGGCTGAAACGTCAAAATTCCAATATGATATTTTTATTAATGATGTTATTATCTCCAACCCCAGTGTTTTAATCGATGGAAGTCAATTTCCCCGATTTCAATGCGAATTCGCTAGAAAATTTTATTCGACTTCTACTAATTTTTCCATTAAGTATTCCCGATTCTATTGAAAAATGCCCCAACTTATCTGCACGTTTTTTTCAACAGAAATGTTCTACTGAAAATATTCTATAGCCAAAATCAATATTTCGTTTTTTCTATACAACTTACTCTTCCGAGATATGTTCTATAGAATTTCTTCAGCTCAAATTTTCAATTTTTTTATTAATAAAAAAAATTCATGTCAAAGAATTTCTATAGCAAATTTCTCATTAGAAAAAGTTGTTCTCTGTTGGACAAACGCACAATTAACCTGCGAAATTTTCCAACAGAATCAGCCAAAAACTAATAGAACTTGCCATAGAATTTCCTAGAGAATCCACCAAGTTTACCTACGAAATTTTTTCATTTGTTTTCCGCAATAAAATTCAAGAAAAAAAAATGAAAATTCATGCCCAAGAATTCTTACAGAAAATTTTTTAACAAAATAAGTTATAATATTGGCGCAAAAAACAAGCAGAAATTTTTCAACAGAATTCTTATAGAGTTCTAATAAAAATTCAAAAGAATTTCCTGGAAAAAGCGTTAGGATTTTCTATTAAATTTTTTCATACGTGTTTCATTAGCTCAGTTGAGGCAACTAGAAGAAATAGAGAGCATAGGAATGACAACAAACGGCTTGGTACTGACTCGCCAACTTCCGGCTCTGCAGCGAGCGGGATTAGACGCCCTGAACATCTCCCTGGACAGTCTCCACAAAGATCGTTTCGAAAAGTTCACGAGGAGGCAGGGATGGAGTCGAGTGATGGCTGCAATTGACCTAGCCGTGCAGCTACAGTTCAATCCAGTCAAGGTATTCACCTCATATCAGTTCTCCTTTCATCCCAGTCAATCCAATTTCATGACTTCTGAATGTAGATGTATTCCACAGGTAAATTGCGTCATCATGCGGGGCTTCAACGACGACGAGCTCACAGACTTCGTTGAACTAACCAGAGATAAACCTATCGACATACGGTTCATCGAGTACATGCCCTTTGACGGTAATAAATGGGATGAAAGTAAAATGGTATCTTTCAAGGAGATGAAGGAGAAGATCAGGGAGAAATTTCCAGATTTTCAACCGATGAAAAATTCGTCCAATTCTACGTCAAAGGTGAGAATTCAAGTCCTCGCCCTATAGCCAAAGCGGCGTAAGTGCTAAAAATCCCTCTTAAAAGCCAAAAGGATGTACGTCCCTTTTCAATGGTTTTTCGAATTTTACTCCAATTTTCGAACAAAAATGTTGTAACAAAAAATCTCAAAATTTCAAAATGCGCAAAATTTTTTATTAAATTTTCTCACAGAGGTGAATTTGTATTTTCCACAATTCATTTTATTTGATATAAAAAAACTTGACATTAACTAATTGCATTGTTAAAAATTTTCCACTGAAATTTCAAAGAATTTTGTTATTGAAAATTCATAATTTCTTGGAAAAATCCGTGAGATCTGTATTTTCAGTTTGATTATTTCGGGAAAATTAATGATAAATCAGGAAAATTCCGAGAAGTCACTCATGGAATTCCATATTCCTCTGAATGCTCAGGGAATTCCCCTAAAAATTCCTGGAATTCCAAGAATTTTAAAAGAATTCTCTGAAAATTCAAAGAAATTTGGTGGCGGATATTGAATTTGACTTGAAAATTCACGTAAATTGTGGAATTTCCGTTTACGAACTGAAAAGTTGATCAAATTTAAAAGATAAAAAAAATATATTTTTTTTTATTTTGATCCCCAGGCGTTTTACGTTCCTGGATTTATAGGCCAAGTAGGTTTCATAACATCAATGAGCGAGCACTTCTGCTACTCCTGCAACAGATTACGAATAACAGCCGATGGAAACCTAAAAGTCTGTCTCTTCGAGGGCAAAAGTGAAGTATCCTTGAGAGACGCCATAAGAAGTGGAGCAGGAGACGAAGAGATCGAGGAAATAATCGGCCTGGCAGTTTCCAAAAAAAAGAAACAACACGCCGGTGAGTTCAATCAGTCCCCCTTTTCCCTTCACGAACGAAAAAATTTCATCGAAAAACCTAGCGAATTGGATAGAAAATTCATTAAAGATGAATGAAAACGGTTAGAATAATTATGGAAAAAAAACTTGGAAAATTTGAGCGGTGCATTTTTCTATAGAAAATATCTCAACAGGATAAGTTGTACAGAAAAATAAAATTCTCTTGTTTTTTTCTATAGAATATTTTCAATTGAACATTTCTATTGACAAAAAATGCGCATATAAATTATGGAATTTTTAAAAAGGAGTATGACTAAAAAACTTTGGGAAAATGAAATTTTGGTTAATTCACCACGCATGAAAAAATTCAATAGAAAACCTAGCGAATTCGCTAGAAAATTCCATTGGAATTCTATAGACATTCTATGGGATTTCTATAGGATTTACATTGGAAATCTATTGAAAAATTCTATTTGTTTTTTGTGCTGATTCTATTGGATATTCAATAAGAAAAAGTCAATATATTTCAAATTTCTGCTTGAATTTTTCTCTTAGATTTTTTCTATCAGAATTGTTAGGCGCAAATTTTCTAAGTTTTTTTTGCTGGATTTTGTTTTATTTTGTATTACAGAATCCAAGTGGAAAAACTTGGAAAATTGATGCTCAAGCATTCTTATAGAAAAAAATCTCAAGAAAAAAATTCAAACAGAAATTTGAAATCTATTGACTTGTTCTTATCGAATATCCAATAGAATCGGCGCAAAAAATGAATAGAATTTTTCAATTGAATTCCAATAGAAATCCTATAGAACCCCCATAGAATTCCTATAGAATTCCAATAGAATTTTGTAGCGAATTTGCTAGGTTTTCCATTGAATTTTTCATACGTGATCTGTTGTGAAATTGAACTTTCGTCAATAAAAGCTTTGGCTTATCATGTCTTTTGTAAGAATATAAGTATATAAATTTGTTTTTCATGGGTTTCTAGAGTGCTGTTATCTGTTTTGTTTTGGTTCCTTGTGAAAAGAATAATCCACATTTCTCATTTATTTCATTGTTAAATGGTGTTGTCTCGATAGGGAGAACTACTCTGAAGTATTTGAGAGGGATTGCTTCGAATGTGCTTTAAATGACCGATCATTTGTTATATTTTGTTATGTTGTGAATATGACTAGTTGTGTTATTTATTTCCTCATGTTTATGAATTAGTGTCAAGTCACTTGTTATTGAGACTCGATGTAGTTTACTCTGGATACGATGTTTGCAAATTTAATATTGTGCTTCGTTTGTTTTTTTTTTTCATTTCGTTATTTTCGTTCGTGGAGAATATCAACGAATATTATATTCATTGAAGCATTATTAATGCTCTGTTCTCGTGTTTTTTTGCAATATTTTCCCAGTTTTTAATAAGTTTTTTCTAACGTTTTTCGAAGTTAATTATTCATTTTTTTTTACTATAGTTATCAACCCATATGGATAAATATATATTCTGAAAATTGCATATTTTATAAATGGAATTGGCTTGATTTATATATAAAAGTTATGAATGCATTCATATAAATTTATGAATGCTTCATATATATTTTATATAAATATTCTATATATATTCAAAGAATATATTACATTGGTCTATATTATCTATTTTTTATATATTTTTCCATGGAGGAAGTTGTTTTGACGAAGTTTTTTTCAATGGAAGTTTTTTTAACATGAACCCTTTTAAAGAGACCAAGAATAAATTCTTTAGTCAGCCAATACTAATAGAAAGTTCAATAGACATCCAATAGAATTTGCGACTGCATTCGCTAGGTTGTTCGACTGCATTCGCTAGGTTGTTCAATAAAATGCTTTCGTACATTTCATGAAAAGAAAATCGAAGGAAAATAGCGCAATGATGTGTTTCAGGAATGCTCAATCTAAAAGACATGGAAAACCGTCCAATGATTTTGATAGGTGGTTGATTCTTGCAGGTAAACGAGTATCACCATCACCATCAACATCACAAATGCACAATCATCTCAAGAAATATTTGATAAACGGTCTACTGACCCCGAATAATTCAATCACAAAATTAATAGCACAGCAGCATTCTTCGTTTTCCCACGTGAATGCAGAGGGAAAAGCGAGTATGGTTGATGTGAGTGAAAAAATCCCGAGTGATCGTTGCGCGAAGGCGAGAGGGATAATCAGAGTGGGACCACAAGTTAGTCAATTAATCAATCAAAATAATGTGAAGAAGGGTGACGTTCTTCTTGTTGCCAAATTGGCTGGAATAATGGCAGCCAAGAAAACGTCGGATTTAATTCCTCTCTGTCACCCCCTCAGTTTAACACACGTCGAGGTAAACCTGACGCTCAGTCGAATTGACAATGAACATGTTGTTGAGATCAATTCTGAGGTGAGGTGCTCAGGGAAAACAGGAGTTGAGATGGAGGCACTCACTGCTGTCAGTGTTGCTGCACTCACTGTTTACGATATGTGTAAAGCAGCTGTTTCTGCTGATGAGCTACAGATTGGGAAAATTGAATTGGTTTATAAATCTGGGGGGAAGAGTGGGGATTATTCTAGGCATAGTTGAGCATAATTATTTTAATGGCGAAGTTAAAGAACGAGAGAAGTCAATTTTACTTGAAATTTCAGTCCTTTTTTATCTTTTAGTTTTCAATATAAAAACATTCTAATGACCAGTTTCAAATTGAGTTGAATTAATTCTGGGAAATTTATAATTATTTGTAATGAGATATTTAAATGGAAGACCAATGGTTGTACATGAAAATCTGAAGAGCCTTTTTTAGTGAAGATGAGTAATTCGTCGAGAAAGAAAATCCGTTCAACATTTTCCCATCTGTCATTCCTCAGTTTAACACACGTCGAGGTAAACCTGACCCTCAGTCGAATTGACAATGAACATGTTGTTGAGATCAATTCTGAGGTGAGGTGCTCAGGGAAAACAGGAGTTGAGATGGAGGCACTCACTGCTGTCAGTGTTGCTGCACTAACTGTTTACGATATGTGTAAAGCAGTTGTGTCTGCTGATGAGCTGCAGATTGGGAAAATTGAATTGGCTTATAAATCTGGGGGGAAGAGTGGGGATTATTCTAGGTATAGTTGAGCATAATTATTTTAATGGCGAAGTTAAAGAACGAGAGAAGTCCATTTTACTTGAAATTTCAGTCCTTTTTTATCTTTTAGTTTTCAATATAAAAACATTCTCATAACCAGTTTCAAATTGAGTTGAATTAATTCTGGGAAATTTATAATTATTTGTAATGAGATATTCAAATGGAAGACCAATGGTTGTACATGAAAATCTGAAAAGCCTTCTTCAGGTCTTGATGTTCTGAAGCCGTTGTTACTGGTCCAGAATGTATAGGAAAATTCGTTTTGTTCAGACGCTCATTCAGAATGTAAATTTCCGTTGTTAGATCAGAATTTACGACAATTGATTTGTATACTATTATTGGTGTAACCATCTCTGCAATTTCCGCCATTTTCATGAGAGAAAAGTGCATTACATTTCTTCCAGACAGGTCCTGAGCAATTCCCGTCACCCGTGGCGATGCCCTGGTGGAAAAAACTCCTTAAATCCTATTGGAAGAAAAAAGGGTAATTGGAAATAATGATGTTATTGCCGTTGACCAATTATTTCCGATTCAGGTTAGTAGCGCAATGCTGACACGTGTGGAAAAATCCAATGGGAAAACCTGGCGAATTAGCTAGAAAATTCTATTGGGATTCTGGAGAAAGAAATTCAAAATCTATTGAATTTTCCGTATGAAATATGCAATAGAATCAGCGCAAAAAACTAATAGAATTCCAATAGAAATCCCATAGAAATCCGATAGATTTTCTCCAGAATTCTCAATAGAATTTTCTAGAGAATTCGCTAGGTTTTCCTATTGGATTTTTCCATACGTATCAGTATTATGCTACTAACCTGAATCGGAAATAATGGGTCAACGGCAATAATGTCATTATTTCCAATTATCCTTTTTCTTCCAATAGGATTTAAGGAGTTTTTTCCATCAGGGTGGAATGTCAAGCTCTGCTTCCATTAGTTCTCGAAAAATCGCTGTCGATTCGTTTTCTCCGCGGTTATCAGTTGATTTATCTTCAGGACCTGGTACTGGTGTTAGTGCTAATGCCGGTGCTGATGTTGATGCTGGTTCTGGTGATGGAGGAGAAAGCGCAGGGGATGGAGAAAGAGGTGAAACCGAAGAAGTAGGACTTTCGCGCCCTAATCCTTCATGCAGAGACGACGTCTCACTCAAAGTTCGACATTTCTGGGAGTCTAACTCGGTGTTAACTTTTTTTGGCGCATTCCACTCATTCCAATCGGCATTGGACGCGTCCGCTGTTTTACCATTTGGCCAGGGAAATACTGAAGGAATTGCTCCTGGTTTTAGTCGTGGAATTCTATAAGGTGACTGCAATAAGGGAAAGATGATTATCAACTCGTACAGTCGAGAAAAGTCAAATAAATTGATAAATATACATACCACACCAATGATTGTACCGTTTGGAGCGCGGAATTCACGTTGCCAAACGTATTCATTTGGTAAAAAGTGTTTTTCACAGATGCTTTGTCCTGCAGTTACTTTCTCACACCCAACAGCTTTTCTCCATTCATCCACACGATTTTTTGGCACCGTAAAAAAATGGAATGGTTGAGGATTATTTTTGTAGCCCGATTTACAACGTGGAACCGCACACGTCGGCATTTTATTTCACCACTGAAATTCGTTCTTTTATGTTTCCGTTTTTTATTCGACAATTTAATCTAAAGCAGTCAGTTCAAGATTAACTAAAATTGAGAAAACACTCAAAAATATCAAATTGGCCGTTTTCAAATATTGGCTTCGCCGGTTTCGTCAGCTGATTCGATAATGAGCATGTTGAAATTAATTCTGAGGCGGAATGTTCAGATTGGATTGAATTGGTTTATAAATCTGGAGGAAAAGGGGGGATTCAAGGCATAGAAGAAGAATAGAAAAAGTGCGGCTGGTCACTTAAAGCGCCCAGAGTCACCTAAATCATACTATCTTTTGTAACTTCCGCCTTAGTTTCGGTCAGTCACACAGCCCCAGCCCTGTGTTTCTCACTAGGCTAATAAGGCTGGTGACAGCCGTTTATTGTAAGTCCTCTGGTTTCAGGAAAGCCGACGGAGTGCTAATAGGGGGCATTCACATAAAATATGGATAACGCCCTCCTTATCGCCTCCGCACAGTCTGCAGTCTTCTTGTTCTGCAAGTTTCATCTTGAACAGATGAGCTCTGAGAGCTGTATGACCCGTAAGGAGCCCTACTGCTACCCTCAG